TTGATTCTCATTTAACGTTTCTGCCGCATATTAAATCCCTTAAAACTAAATGCATGAAGGCACTTGACTTATTGAAAGTTGTTTCAAATTCTAAATGGGGAGGGGATCAAGCCACTCTCCTACATCTATATCGATCACTGGTCGATCGATCGATCACAGGTATATCGAAACTTGATTATGGCTCCATCGTATATGATGGAGCCTCCAAAAGCAACTTAGAACTATTAGATTCTGTCCATCACCAAGGTCTAAGACTTTGTCTTGGATCCTTTAGGACTTCTCCTGGGGCAGTCTCTACGTCGAGGCAGATGAACCATCTCTTGCACAACGCCGTATAAAATTATCCTTGCAGTATATAACCAAACTGTATTCTAACGAGTCTAACCCTGCATTCAACTGTGTGTTTACTCCTCTTTGTGAGGATTTGTATAAGAAAAAGCCTTCTCTTGTTCCACCTCTTGGTTTAAGAATTAAACCATTCATTTCTGCTGCTGGCATTGAGCTGGAAAATATAGCTCCTTCCCGTCTTCTTTCTTCTCCTCCTTGGCAGTTAGTTAGGCCTAACGTTAACAGCATTTAAAAAAACAGAAACTAATGATTTACATTATAAACAAGAATATAATCAATTAAAAAGGAAATATAATACATATAAATCCTCATTTACAGATGGGTCCAAGGATGGGGGCGCGGTGGCTTGTGCCACTGTCATGAACAATATATTCTCGATTACCAGATAACAGCTCTATTTTTACAGCAGAAGCAAACGTCATATTAACAGCCTTAACATATATTAATAAACACCGTAAATATAAACAATATATCATCTTTTCAGATTCTCTTTCGTGTCTTCAGGCTATTAAAAATATTTCTTGCAAACATCCACTTTTATTAGAAATTATTGAATTGTACAATGAACTTGCTACTGGCCAATGCGACATCGTCTTTTGTTGGTTACCCAGTCAAGTTGGCATTTCTGGGAACACAATGGCTGATATTGCTGCTAAGGCAGCACTCAACAAATCTGTGACACCACTTCTTATTCCTTACTCTGATTACAAGGCTTGCATTAGAACTTATATCCGTGATCTGATGCAGAAGAAGTGGGACACCCAAGTAGGTATCAATAAATTACATGAAATAAAACCCTATATCGGTTACACTTACTTGGGTTGTCAGTCCAGATTTGAGGAGGTCATCATACGACGATGTCGTATTGGCCACACAAGATATACTCATGAGTACCTATTGAAAGGTGAGGATCCTCCGTTTTGTATCCCTTGTGATGAAAGAATCACGGTCAAGCATATCCTGCTTGAATATGTTGAATATTCCATCACAAGGGATATTTATTTCAAAGTAAAAACTATGAAGGATCTTTTTAGTAATATACGTTCTCATTTAATTATTGCCTTTTTAAAAAAATTAGACTTGCTAACTGATTTGTAAATAGATATATATTTTATTATTGGTAGTTTAGATTAGTAACTGAGATTGTTAGTGGCTGTACCCTCAAAGGGGGTTGAAGTAGTGTAAAATTATTGTCCTCCTGAGAGGGTACGTAAGTCCCAAAATGTTCAAAGTCCATTTAAACTTGCCAGGATTTTTGTAAACATAGCATTTTTGTTATTTTAATTTTGGCTAACATTTCTTACAATCGCCAGCAGCTGAAGGGATGGTGTAAATCCAACTAGGGTCCATGCAGGTAGCAAAGGTACTGTAAGTCCCCATGGGCCCTAGTATGGTGATCAACCTTCAGTTGTTGGCGATCTATAGCCCAATTATATATTGTGTTGTCCCCTATAGTTAAAATGTTTTTGATTCAATTACTAGTTTTACATATATATCTGTGATACTCTAGTTGTTTTACTGTCCTTTGTCGGCAGGTTTTATAATCTCTCTCTATATTCTACATCAATGTCAAGTATTCTCGTCACGATATGGCTGAAATATTGCCGATGTGACGTTAAATAATAACTCACTCACTCACTCACTCACTCACTTCTGTGACGCCACCAAACAGTGGATGGTATTATTTGTTGCAAATAGTGTTGTATACACTAGTGTTCAAACATGAGAACAGAACGTTTAAGCACCCCTGACATATCTCACGATTGAATAAGCTCCGATCTTAACCCTTTGGAACATATCTGGACATGATTGGTCGTCGTATGCAACAAAAGGATCCTGCTGTGCAGAACCTGGTCCAATTGGAAGCTGCTTTCCACGAAGAATGGCGTAGACTGCCTCTTCAGAGGATTTGGAGGCTGACAGAGGGTATGAAGAGAAGGATGCTGGTTGTCATACAGTCAGTCACATGGACGTTACACTCGGTATTGACCTTGAATCGTGTAAGACACGCAAAATGACATTTTGAATGTTCACGTTCACCAATGAATTCAACATTAAACATACCAGGGTCATACTTGTACCGACATGGTTTTGTAAGCAAATCAGTGGGTTTTTTTTATTGAAACATGAGCGCTTATCATCATAATATCAACATGGATTCCAATTAAATTGTAGTTTTATATGAGTCAAAGGATCATACGGGTTAGAAACACCATGTGCTTCCATCGTGGTCACCGCGAGAAGTTTATGTACGTGTTGAAAACCTATCAATGCAAAAATACAGCGGGCGCTTAAAACGTTCTTTGTGTACTTTGTGTATACTACATGTCAACGAAGGGAATTGCATCCTGTCATGATTTTTGTCACTGATGTGTCACATTTGGAAATGTCTTACACGTGTCTTCTATCATAGAATGTTTGAAATTACAGATATTTGTTTTAACAGAGGCATTGAATGTATCCTGTATCAAGAGTCGTCTAAAGCTCTTTGAAATGTTCGTAGAAAAATAACACATATACATTTACACATTCATAATAATACATCACTGTACATCAATTGATGTCGGTAATAATTTAATTGTTAATTCTACACACTTTTTTCAAACTGCTGTAGCTGAAAGAGGACATTATCGCGTGATGCTAGCTGACCGTCTTTCGCCCGATTGTCCATTTATCGGTACAAAACGAAGACGTTCTGGCAATATCACTTGGTCTTTCAACAGTCAACAGTTTGGGGAACACATTGTTTAGCGTTTTAATCACACGGAATTTCAATACCAGTGGGTTAAACTACTGCTATAAAATATTTTCAGCAGTCGAAATAGGACAGTTATTATTTCATGGCGTTAGAATGTTGATTTGTTTCACACACGACAGAATATTCTGTCCACAAGTGGGTAGTGGACACTGTTTCACACATAACAGAATATTCTGTCCACAAGTGGGTAGTGGATACTGTTTCACACATAACAGAATATTCTGTCCACAAGTGGGTAGTGGATCTGTTTCAGACATGACAGAATATTCTGTCCACAAGTGGGTAGTGGATACTGTTTCACACATGACAGAATATTCTGTCCACAGATGGGTAGTGGATACTGTTTCACACATGACAGACTATTCTGCTCACTTTTTATCACAGCCATCTGTAAGTCATAGCAGGGATAATCTACAGTCTCCTATTATCCCTGGTCACAGCCACGCAGGCCAACACAATGACCATCAATGGACCATGAGAGGCAGAGCTGAAAGAACTAATTACTTGGAATTTATGGTGCGGATCCACCAGAAAGTCCTGACCCGGGAGTATATGCAATTCAAGATGATCCCAGTCCACAGGGTGGAAGCGCTATCCACGCGAAATGTGGAGTTGCCCCAAAAGCAACTCCATTTCCTCGCTGGACAGTGAAAGACGAACATGTGGCGCAAGGGTAAGTTTTCCCTCGCATTTTCATTATTTTGCAAGTATATCAGGTTTTGCCATTTGGCATAGGGGTCTAGAAATGTATAGTTCGTTCTGTAATAGCTTGACACTCTCTCTATTTATTACAATCGTGCGTTAAACAAGGGCACCCTCCTGAGTGTCGAAACAAGATCGCATTTTCATTATTTTGCAAGTATATTAGGTTTTGCCATTTGGCAGAGGGGTCTAGAAATGTATAGTTCGTTCTGTAATAGCTTGACACTCTCTCTATTTATTACAATCGTGCGTTAAACAAGGGCACCCTCCTGAGTGTCGAAACAAGATCGCATTTTCATTATTTTGCAAGTATATTAGGTTTTGCCATTTGGCAGAGGGGTCTAGAAATGTATAGATCGTTCTGTAATAGCTTGACACTCTCTCTATTTATTACAATCGTGCGTTAAACAAGGGCACCCTCCTGAGTGTCGAAACAAGATCGCAGAAAATGATCGTTTCAACACGAAATATGACCTCATCAGCAGACACGCCTTTTTTGCTGTCAATTCTTATATATAGTTATTTTAAGTCTTCATCCACAGTTTAGGCTTAAATGCGTCAGTATTTTTTTCAGTTATCGTCGAAAAACCAAACTGTACGTTTTATATGGAGCTGCTCACATTTAGCAAACAAACTGTCCATTGCGTTGTGATTTTACTGTCCAGGATTTGACAGTTTGTAGTTTTAACCGTCATGTCATCAAACGTTATTCTAGAGATATTTGTTGTAGACCTGCCTATCTGGCCAATTTTGGCGTATTTATTACGATTTTGTATGATCAAGTGCGATTGTGCACCCATATTGCAGTTTGTTCGACAGGGATTTAATGTAAAAAAAACCCCCCAACATGTACGATCAGAACAAATTATAATATACATCTACCCCAGGAATAACCAAGTCCTCGGCCCCGTTTCACAAAGCTCTCGTAAACCTTAAATTCTCATAACGTTTGTCGTAGCATTCGTACTTACTATACTGTAACAATGACTTACGATAATTGTAGCCCTACGAGAGCTTTGTTAAACGGCGCCAAGGTTATTCCAAAGTATGTACATTGTTCATACTATCATTCAGATATTAGCATTGCACATTCGGGTAAAGCACATCACTAAGCATATGAAAATTAAGGGACATCTAACCAATGTTGACTGCGAAATCAAACACAGTAATGACTTCCAACCGTTGACACCAGCGATATGGACAAGTCAATGGCCGTTGTTAAAGCAGAAATCCAAATGCCTGACGAGCAGCAGCCAGACCAGTTACAACTCCTACCACAAAGGGCCAGGAGAGCTGCAGTCAGGCACTCCTGGGTGCTGCCATGGCTCATAGAAGAGAGGGGATAACAGTTTGGACAGTTCTTCAGTAGCGTTCCAAAACTACACAAGGTTAACACCACAGCTCTTCGATGAAGGCCTGCAGATGGTGGCCCCAGCAATCGATAGGAAGTCACCAATTGCAGGCAAACTCTTTCACCTGGACTGAAACTGACAGTTGTTCTTTGGTACCTTGAGGCTGGAGACAACTATCGGTCCCTTGTGTATGCCTTCAGGTGTGGAGTGTCCACCATCTCAGAGGTGGTTCCAGAATGCGAGGGAAAACTTACTATTACTCTTGCGCCACTTATTCGTCTTTCACGGTCCAGCGAGGAAATGGAGTTGCTTTTGGGGCAACTCCACATTTCGCGTGGACAGCGCTTCCACCCTGAGCAGTCCAGCAAGTTGCTGAAGGTTAGAGTTGTGTGCCTGGTTCTGAATCATGTGTTACAGGCCAAGACAGCCCGAATACTGCTGAATAACCGCTAACATGTGTTACAGGCCAAGACAGCCCGAATACTGCTGAGCAACCGCTGTCATGTGTTACAGGCCGAGACAGCCCGAATACTGCTGAACAACCGCTATCATTCATGTGTTACAGGCCAAGACAGCGCGAATACTGCTGAACAACCGCTATCATGTGTTACAGGCCAAGACAGCCTGAATACTGCTAAACAACCGCTATCATGTGTTACAGGCCGAGACAGCCCGAATACTGCTGAACAACCGCTATCATGTGTTACAGGCCAAGACAGCCCGAATACTGCTGAACAACCGCTATCATGTGTTACAGGCCAAGACAGCCCGAATACTGCTGAACAACCGCTATCATGTGTTACAGGCCAAGACAGCCCAAATACTGCTGAACAACCGCTATCATTCATGTGTTACAGGCCAAGACAGCCCGAATACTGCCGAACAACCGCTATCATGTGTTACAGGCCAAGACAGCCCGAATACTGCTGAACAACCGCTATCATGTGTTACAGGCCAAGACAGCCCGAATACTGCTGAACAACCGCTATCATGTGTTACAGGCAAAGACAGCCCGAATACTGCTGAACAACCGCTATCATGTGTTACAGACCGAGACAGCCCGAATACTGCTGAACAACCGCTATCATGTGTTACAGGTCGAGACAGCCCGAATACTGCTGAATAACCGCTATCATGTGTTACAGGCCAACACAGTCCGAATACTGCTGAACAACCGCTATCATGTGTCACTGGCCAAGACAGCCCGAATACTGCTGAACAACCGCTATCATGTGTTACAGGCCGAGACAGCCCGAATACTGCTGAACAACCGCTCACCAGGACATGCATTTGAAGCCATACAGGATGTTAGAAGGCTCTTAGAGCATCAGTGGGAGGAGGGTTTGCGATATAGCTGTACAAACCATCTATTATCTATCAATGTATCACAGTTTCAATAAGTACCTACTGTTTTTGGTAAGATAGTAGTACACATCACTCCTTATCATACCAGTCAAAACACGAACTGTAAAATGCTAACATTTCCTTTTCTTAAGCCTGTCCACAGACGATATATTTCTAAGCAATATTTCAATCTTCAGTTATTTTGAAGTCCTTCACATACAACAAAGAAGACAACCGCTATCATGTGTTACAGACCGAGACAGCCCGAATACTGCTGAACAACCGCTATCATGTGTTACAGGTCGAGACAGCCCGAATACTGCTGAATAACCGCTATCATGTGTTACAGGCCAACACAGTCCGAATACTGCTGAACAACCGCTATCATGTGTCACTGGCCAAGACAGCCCGAATACTGCTGAACAACCGCTATCATGTGTTACAGGCCGAGACAGCCCGAATACTGCTGAACAACCGCTCACCAGGACATGCATTTGAAGCCATACAGGATGTTAGAAGGCTCTTAGAGCATCAGTGGGAGGAGGGTTTGCGATATAGCTGTACAAACCATCTATTATCTATCAATGTATCACAGTTTCAATAAGTACCTACTGTTTTTGGTAAGATAGTAGTACACATCACTCCTTATCATACCAGTCAAAACACGAACTGTAAAATGCTAACATTTCCTTTTCTTAAGCCTGTCCACAGACGATATATTTCTAAGCAATATTTCAATCTTCAGTTATTTTGAAGTCCTTCACATACAACAAAGAAGACAAAATGCAATAAAAACGAAATTATTTTATTATTTTTTAAAGTAAAACGGACACACGATCCGCAGCAGAAGTTTCTTGTTAGAGCACTTCTTTCTTACCACAGACCAGTGATAAAGACAAACAGATGGTTCCCCTGACCTCTCCCCGGGTCAAGTCTGACCACAGAGAGTGGGCACAGCCAGGGAAACCTATGGCTAATGTTTTCTTCACACCTAAGCCTTGAAAATGTAAAAGTAACATATAGGACCATTCCAGGTAGAGTGCAGCAGACCGCTGCCTCAATACAGAAGAGCTGATGGTTCACAAATACAGGCGACCAGCTCCAGGAGACTAACAAACAAATCAGCCTCACCTCTCTGATACTTAAATTATCACAGACAAACATTTTACTACTCACAAAAAAGCAGTTTAACAATATTAAAAAAGGTAAAAAACGCAACAATTACTTGGGAAAATATTCCCATCTAAAGCATGCAGTCCTCTTCTGCTACAAGCACTGTGCTTGGACTGTTCTGTGTCTGTTTATCTGTTTGTCCGTCCGGCGGCCATCTGCCTGTTGACTTGTACTTACGACACCGACCACAACACCTACAGCCACAGGAGCCAAGCTGAGGCCAAACAAGAAAATATGTATGTTCCCAGTAACCAGACCAAATAAACGTATCACTTGCAGCCAGAACTTGTAATTAGTTGTACTTAAGCTTATAGTTTTTTGAAGGAAACTCTCCTCAACTCTGTATACCAATCAAGTTACCCGAAACACAAATATTTCTAAATTTTGCCCAAACACTTCCTTTAAAATTACTCCTGGTAAAATCGAACACAAAATAGGAAATTAACATTTATCCTTTATGACAGAAACAAAACTAAATGTTTATCAACTGCTTTAAAAAGAATGTTTTCTATACATAAGTGACCAATGAAAGCAAGTGGGAGGCTATACAAAGCTTGTGCAACACAGCACGACCTGTAGCTATTGTCAGTCACAAACTGAAGCAACCTGTGATCTATGTGCCCAAGCTGGGTCCTACTGATATGTAACACAATGCTGCGCCAGGCATCACTATCTAGGTCTCTAGCAATAACAAAGTATTCATCAGTGTCAGTAAAATAGCATCACATTAAAACTAACCACTTCTCAACTTGAAGAACAGTACACATGCCGTTAAAGAAGCAGGACACATCAACTGTCATGGTATTACAATGTATCTATGGACGAGGGATATACCCTGCTGGTTTAACAAGGTAACTTGAGTATCAGAGAGGCTACAACGTACACACAACAACAGGGACATGTATGGGTTGGAGCTCACACTGCCAGCTGCACTCACATTTCTAAAGAGAGCTTTATTCACGTCTAAATAGGCCTGCATACAAGGTTCTAGAAACAGGCCATAGAATAATCTTGTTAAAAGCATAATGTACACTATTATAGTCAAATACGAACACTTGAACCAGTTTTGACTTGAACATTTTGAAAATTCCAATTTTTAAGAATATGAAATGCTTTGATGCAACAAAATTGATAAACTTATGGATGTTGCAAACAAGGGCTTCTGTCCCTGCATCAGCTGTTCCTCAGTGGAGCTCTGAACCAACACAGTCACGTCAATAATCAAGTCTTGTCTCCTCCTCCACACCGACAGGCAGACAGGAGATGGCAGCCACTGTGTAAGTATATTCGAATTTCACCGCTTTAAACACTTTATGTGATTGTATAAACAGTGTGAATAAAGGTTACCACACAGAACATACTGCTCTTGGTACAACCTGCCACTGTCTGGTGAGGAGGGTGTATGTTAAGGTCAAGGAGGCTCCGTCATCAACCCATACAAGATGAGGACAACCAGGGGAGGCAACTCCAGAATCAGGTGATTGTCACAGTTGTGGTGAGTCTACAAGTCTTATTACTTGTTGTCATACATAGTGAGGGGGTTGTCACGATCCAGGGCCACAGTTGGGAGCCTCAATGGATATAGTATAGGTTGTAACTCCAGCTGGAGCTTCACAGATGTCTCATACAGACTGCACATTGGGTGGCCTTGATCAGTGGGATGACAGTGACCCTTATGGGTAATCTTACCAACATATTACACGTACAGGAAATGTTTACCTGCAACATCATCTGAACAGAGTTCACAGCCAAGTTGAACAATTTATAAATATTCTGTGAAAACCCATAAGGATTTCAATGTTGCACATGTCAGTATTCAGATCATGTACACCACTAGATCAAGGCCACTTGACACAGCGTCTCTCACACACTGACCAGCTCTGTAAAATATTACACTTCATACATTATAACATAAGTGTAGCAAATAAACAATTTGCTCAGCCATTACACATTGATCATTTTTAGACAGCAGTTCAAAATTATGACACTGAATGGACATCTTAGTTTCTGTGTGTGTGTGAGTGTGCGTGCGTGCCTGTGTGCACATGCATGTTTCTAGTATGTCGACAGTGAGCATGTGTGAATGTCTGTCCCAAAATGTAGTCAATCAGCTGACAGCCAATGTTTTGAACTGCTCCCTAAACCAGAATCTAACTCCAAGATGGCTGCTCATTCACTTGTGAACACATCTCATCGGAACTGCAAGTGAAAGGATGTCCAAATGTTTGAGCAGCAGGATAAAAAAAAATGCAATATGCCTCTGAAATCCATAACATATTAAATGTATTTGATCATCAGGACAACTCAACATCCTATGAACATATCCTCCACTGATGCCAACATAGAGTGACCTCCCATACAATTATACACATATACAAATAGTACCAGTATCACTAGTTATCAATATACACACAATATCTGGAGAAAATCTAACACAGGCAATATCTGGAGAAAATCTAACACACGCAATATCTGGAGAAAATCTAACATTGACAAGACTATGAGGGACCTGTAGTAATGACTTTACTGCTGCTACTGGTTGGGTGGTTCTGCGTATAAAATCATACATGAAATAATTTTTGAGACTTGCATCATACCTTCTTTTCATGCCTAACTCGACTCTCAAACCAAAATAATAGAACTTCGCACAGTTAAGTCAATGAAGAAACGACTGTACAGAGTAAACTGGCATATAAAACTATGAAATAAACTATGTACAAGTAGAGCACATGAAGAAAATTAAATTGTCCTAAACACTGAAACATAGGTGATCATGTGAGTAGTTCAACTGAAGTTCTAGGTGGGTTTTACAGGAGGCATATAACACACAACACGAACCTGTCTGCAGGTGGAAGAATAACACGTGATAAGAAGACAACAAAACACTTTCTACAAACAAACCAACAATCAAAAGATGCTAGGTGGGGAAGTAGGATGCTAGTTCTCCTGACAGCTACAACAAAGGGAGCTAACTCTAGGGGGTGAACTTCACATCACGCTCTGTATCGCTGTGGTGAGACTACTATAACATCCTACTCTTCACTAATTTAGCTCTAGAACATTGTGTGAGAGATATGACTATGGTCTATAGGGCTTAAACTAACTTCATGACAAGTACAGAAAATTTATCTCATTTCCATCTGTGACATTTTAACTAAAGTTCACAAATTTGAAATCACTTCCATACAGTAAACCTTAACAGAAATATGGAACACCTGTAACCTGGTAATGGATCTACATGTAAGTTTGGACAACGACTCAGTAAGCTCCACACAGAGATAAAGTGAGTGGTTTCAGCAACAGTGCAGAGAACAAAAGGAGCAGTGTAACACAGTGAAGCTGTGTGAGCTGTAAGGGGAGGTCACTCTAAGTGGTATAACGGTTTAGTTGTCAGTGTTCTTGGGGTTGTCTCCCTCTGGGGGAAGGAACTGGCCCCATCCTGTGCTGGCTGTGTTGGCTGTGGTGGCCTTGGGGCTCCAGATGGCCATGTCCACAGTGGGGCTGAACGGACTGAACGTTCCGGCGTTGGTGATCTAAACAACAAGGTGCATTAGTGTATTGTGTATGTGCTGGAGTTCAGGCTTCAAGCATTCACTGAGGAATCACTTTTTCAGTCAGCATACAGTATGTAAGACACTTGAAATGTTTTGAATAAAATCATATAGATGGAGAAACTAAATTGAATTAGTCATATTTTGATGTTCACTATATGTCAAACACAATGTTCAATTATCATGTAAGACAATGGTATGGGGATCTAAACTGAAATGTCAAATACAGAACTATCGAATACAGAACTACTCAACCATGAAGTATCTTGCCTTACCGAGTCTGGTGTTAGCTGTTGGGTGGAGATGGCGTGGGTTGACAGTCCTACCTGTGGGCTGTTGGGTGGAGAGGGTGTGGGTTGACAGTCCTACCTGTGGGCTGTTGGGTGGAGAGGGTGTGGGTTGACAGTCCTACCTGTGGGCTGTTGAGAGGGTGGAGATGGCGTGGGTTGACAGTCCTACCTGTGGGCCGTTGGGTGGAGAGGGTGTGGGTTGACAGTCTTACCTGTGGGCTGTTGGGTGGAGATGGCGTGGGTTGACAGTCCTACCTGTGGGCCGTTGGGTGGAGAGGGTGTGGGTTGACAGTCTTACCTGTGGGTTGTTGGGTGGAGATGGTGTGGGTTGACAGTCTTATCTGTGGGCTGTTGGGTGGAGAGGGTGTGGGTTGACAGTCTTATCTGTGGGCTGTTGGGTGGAGAGGGTGTGGGTTGACAGTCCTACCTGTGGGCCGTTGGGTGGAGAGGGTGTGGGTTGACAGTCTTACTTGTGGGCTGTTGGTTGGAGAGGGTGTGGGTCAACAGTCTTACCTGTGGGCTGTTGGGTGGAGGGTGTGTGGGTTGACAGTCTTACCTGTGGGCTGGAGTTTCCGGAGTATGTTGGTTCTGGGTACACCACCTCATTCTCCATGGCAGATGGAGAGGATGTGCTCGGGTTGTTCGACCAGATGGAGGTCAGGTTGTTCCAGCCGCTGGTGGCTGAACTTGTCAATGCATTCCAGAAACCACCCGCCTGAAACAGCAGGAGGGATGATTATATCAGTTCACTAGCTGATCTGGTGTAGTGTCTGCATAGTACTTTCATTGGCACTGGGAGAGGGGTGTCCTAATACATTCATTGGCACTTTGTGTGTGTGTGTGTGCATGCGTGCGTCGTGCGTGTGTGTCCCCTAGTAATAACACTGTCTAGTCTAGTCTACACTGACAGATATAACAAACTGTTGTTTCTTTTGGTTGAAATGCGAATAATGGAGGGCAGTTGTATCTAATGAAAACTAGTGGTCTCTGTTAGCTTGTTATTAGTAAAGATTACTGTACTTACATTGGCACTTGGTGGTGAGTCTGTGGCCACAGACCAGGCGTTCTCCAGTGGGTTGTACTCAGAGTCCCACAGGCTGTCACTTCTGACAGGGGGAACATCAAAGCCAGGCCAATCTTCACCTACATCACACAGGAAGATTGACATGAGTCAGGTATAACTGTTTCTCAACACAGCCTAAACACGTGAGAGGTTTCACAGAGATACAGATAAACAGCTAATCTGTTAGACACATACCCTTGTTTAGCATCTTGAGCTGGTGTTCCCTGTAGCGGCGACGGCGTTCGGCCATGAGCTGCTGCATCATTGACGGCTGCTTGGGGATCTGCTCCATCGGGTTAGTGTAGCCTGCAACAGCACAACACATCTCATCAACAAACCTGCTTACACATACCCTGCACTGTATGTCATTCTTCTCTCCAGTAGATCATGGAGATTGGTCCAGTCATGGTACACTGAACAGCATCCCATCTGACTACTATGCCCAAAACTGGCTTGTTGACAAGACTGCTACTTAAGCCAAGTCTAGTTTATATTTGTTTTAGTCGTTTAAGTCCTGTCTGGTTGTTGTATTTCTATTACAGCACACTGGATACAGCCTCTAATGATGTCTCCGGGTGGCAGTCATACCATTGCCTGTGAAGCCGTACTCCTGCTGATCAAATGAATCAATGCTGGCCGTCTGGGATGTGAAGGGTGCAGAAGAGTTCTCCTCAATGGTTGTCAGTCCAAAGCTGCCACTGCAACACAGGGACAACATTAGTTGCTATGGCAACACATCAAACATCAAGGGGAGGGCATTAGTTACTATGACAACACGCCATGAATCATGTGACCGCAAGCTTTACTTTACTCAGACTAGAAGGGTTGACTATGGAGTACATAAATACACTATTGCTATGTTGGAGTAAATGAGTGAGTGAGTTTAGTTTTACGCTGCACTGCTATGTTGGAAATATACAAGGAGCTATCAAAGAGTTCTGAGCCTAAAATAGAGCGATTGACTGCAGTGGTGGCCCTCTAGGGCCAAACCCTTTATGACTGCTCTGTACTCAAGCTTATCCAATTCTGCCGTATGAATAAGGGTACATGTCACATGACCTGACACTAGCAAAATGTGCATTTCAATATTACGTTTATGTGAATGATATAAACCATTCTTCAATATCAGTCATTTTTATGATGAACATATCAAAAGTATTTTAGGCTCAAAACTTTTTGATAGCCCCCTCATATATGTTTGACTGTAGGACTTACATGGAGTCCGGGGATGGTGGCCCTCCGCTCCATGGGGTTCCGGGTCTTGTTTGTTGGAGATTTGGAAGCTCCATTCTTGATCCCTAACGGTCCTGAAAGAGTCAAAATCGTGTCCGTCAACTTCAACACTAACATTCATTCAAGTCATACAACCAGGAATCAAGAAGGAATTGACCCCTGGCATCTCACACACTACAGATCAACTTACAATCTCAGCTGATTTAGAAAATACATGAATACTATGAAGAGAAAACAGCGTCAGTCTGGCAGTGAGACATCCTGGACAGTGAAGCATTGGTGTATGAAAGGTGCATACCTGGGAGACCATTCTCACCAAAAGGAGAGAACCCGGTAGCTCGCTTGTCTCCAGCTGTGGATTGTTTGCCCTTGGCCTTGTTGGTGTTGGAGTCACTGCTGCTGTTGCTGACGATGCTGCTGTAGCTGCTGGAGCGGCTGGAGCTGGTGAGGGCCTCGGGGGAGAAGCCGTTCAGTTGGCTGTTGGTGCCACCATTACTGGCACTACCGTTACTGCCCAGGCCCTTGATGTGCTTCTGGGCAAAGTTCTCTGTCTGTATGGACAGCTCAGTCAGGTCACCTACAGAATACCAGGAAATGTGTTACCATGGCTACTGGTACCATTTTGGACTTCATAAAGAAAAACAAAGCATAACATAGAGGAAGGATAAAAAGTAGAAACAAAATGTTTCACTTAATGCCAATAATAGGATACTGGTGATTCAGACAAAAAAATCTGCATACTATATTTACAACATACACAACTGTGTGAGTGTCACTGAGAAGGACAGTACTGTGATTGTGGGAAACATAGAACACTGACATGACAGGTACAGGCCTGTCGTCACTACAGTGAGACAGTCAGCCACAACAGACAGGTGGAGCAATATCAACTGGGGGTGTTAGTACAGTTAGTGATGAACAACGTTGATGTGATGTACAGTTGTGCTCTAATTCGTCACTCCAATCACAGCTTTAGGGTCACAAGTGTGTGTGTGTGTGTGTGTGTGTGTGTGTGTGTGTGTGTGTGTGTGTGAGAGAGAGAGAGAGAGAGAGATTGAGAGAGGCATGGTGTGTGGGTTGGTAGAGATTGGTTGTAGGCATGGTGGTGGCTGGCAGTGGCTGGTGGCATGGGGATGGTTGTAGGCAGGATGGGTGAGTAGGATGGTTGTAGGCATGGTGAGTGGGTAGGTGGTAGGATGGTTGTAGGCATGGGGTGGGTAGGTGGTAGCATGGTTGTAGGCATGGTGAGTTGTGGTATGATGGTTGTAGGCATGGTGAATGGGTGGTAGGATGGCTGTAGGCATGGGGTGGGAAGGTGGTAGGATGGTTGTAGACATGGTGAGTTGTGGTATGATGGTTGTTGGCATGGTGAATGGGTAGGTGGTAGGATGGTTGTAGGCATGGCATGTGGGTGGTAGGATGGCTGTAGGCATGGGGTGGGTAGGTGGTAAGATGGTTGTAGGCATGGTGAGTGGGTAGGTGGTAGGATGGTTGTAGGCATGGTGTGTGGGTGGTAGGATGGCTGTAGGCATGGGGTGGGTAGGTGGTAGGATGGTTGTAGGCATGGTGAGTGGTGGTAGGATTGTTGAAGGCATGGGGTGGATGGTTGTAGGCATGAGTGGGGTGGTAGGATGGTTGTAGGCATGGTGAGTTGGTAGGTGGTAGGATGGTTGTAGGCATGGTGAGTGGTGGTATGATGGTTGTAGGCATGGGGTGGATGGTTGTAGGCATGGGGTGGGTGGTTGTAGGCATGGTGTGTTGGGTGGTAGGATGATTGTAGGCATGGTGAGTGGGGTGGTAGGATGGGTGTAGGCATGGTGAGTGGGTAGGTGGTAGGGTGGTTGTAGGCATGGTGAGTGGGTAGGTGGTAGGGTGGTTGTAGGCATGGTGAGTGGTGGTATGATGGTTGTAGGCATGGGGTCGATGGTTGTAGGCATGGGGTGGGTGGTTGTAGGCATGGTGAGTGGTGGTTTGATGGTTGTAGGCATGGGGTGGATGGTTGTAGGCATGGTGAGTGGTGGTAAGATGGTTGTAGGCATGGTGTGGTCGGTATGATAGTTGTTGGCATGGTGAGTGGATAGGTGGTAGGATGGCTGTAGGCATGGTGAGTGGGTAGGTGGTAGGATGGTTGTAGGCATGGTGGGTGAGTGGTAGGATGGTTGTAGGCATGGGGTGGGTGGTTGGATGGTTGTACTGTAGGCATGGTGAGTGGGTGGTAGGATGGCAGTAGGCATGGTGTGACAGAGTTGGTGGGTGGTAGGAGGCATGGTGAGTGGGTGGTGGGGTTTGGTTGGTGAGAATGTTGTAGGCATGGTGTGTGAGGGTAGTGAGAGTGTGGTAGGAATCTTGTCTGTGTGATGTGTGGATGGGTGTGAGGTATGGGTGGAATAGTTTAGGAAGGTAATGGACACTGTGGTGTGGTGTGGTGTGTGTGTGTGGTGTGGTGTGGTGTGGTGTGGTGTGGTGTGGTGTGAGTGGTGTGTGTGGTATGGTGTGGTGTGGTGTGGTGTGGTGTGTGGTGGTGTGGTGTATCATTTCAGGGATGTGGTGGGTTTGGGGAAGAATTGCAATATGGTGTGCTTTAGAAAGTTTCTTTTAAGTACAAATTTAAAATTATAAAAAAATTCAAATAATACAGTAGTCTTTACATTCAAAACGTACAGATTTTACTTAATATCTGAAATGTTTTCATGCAATGTGTGCTATAAAGCGGCTACCAGTTGAGGTTCTCAAATCTATTCCCTGGAGCATTATTCTGACTGTATTTGGAGCATGTCTACAAAGTGTAGTTATCTAACCAGGCGTCAGTGTGGCACTGGGGAAGTCCCACGACGGAGGCGCTGGGAAATCTTTGTCTGGGTCACTGCTGTCGCTGGCCGTTGTGTGCAACAAAGTGTCACCTAGGTAACAACATAGCAACCAATCAACATGCAGAGCTTTACACAAAACTAGATGGGTATAAAGCATGTGCATCACCGAGACAGTAGGCAATAGTATGTGTATCACCTAGACAGTAGGCAAACATGTCAATCACCTGGACCGTAGGCAATAGTGTGTGTATCACCTGGACAGTAGGCAAACATGTGAATCACCTGGATAGTAGGCAATAGTGTGTGTATCACCTGGACAGTAGGCAAACATGTGAATCACCTGGACACTAGACAATAGTGTGTGTATCACCTAGACAGTAGGCAATAGTCTGTGTATCACCTAGACAGTATGCAAACATGTGAATCACCTGGACAGTAGGCAATAGTCTGAGTATCACCTGGACAGTAGACAATAGTGTGAATCACCTGGATAGTAGGCAATAGTGTGTATCACGGAGACAGTAGACAATAGTGTGCATCACCTAGAGAGTAGACAATAATGGGCATCACCTAGAGGGTAGACAATAATGTGCATCACTAGACAGTAGACAATAATGTGTATCACTAGACAGTAGACAATAGTGTGTATCACCTAGAGAGTAGACAATAGTGTGCATCACCTAGAGAGTAGACAATAATGGGCATCACCTAGTGAGTAGACAATAATGTGCATCACTAGACAGTAGACAATAATGTGTATCACTAGACAGTAGACAATAGTGTGTATCACCTAGACAGTAGACAATAGTGTGTATCACGGAGACAGTAGACAATAGTGTGCATCACTGAGAGAGTAGACAATAGTGTGTATCACTAGACAGTAGACAATAACGTGTATCACTAGACAGTAGAAAACTGTGTGTATCACCTAGACAGTAGACAATAGTGTGTATCACGGAGACAGTAGACAATTGTGTGCATCACCTAGAGAGTAGACAATAGTGTGTATACCCTAGACAGTAGAAAATAGTGTGTATCACTAGGCAGTAGACATATGGTGTGTATCACTAGACAATAGTGTGTATCACTAGACAGTAGACAATAGTTTGTGTCACCTAGAAAGTAGACAATAGTATGTATCACTAGACAGTAGACAATAGTGTGTATCACGGAGACAGTAGACAATAGTGTGCATCACTGAGAGAGTAGACAATAGTGTGTATCACTAGACAGTAGACAATAGTGTGTATCACGGAGACAGTAGACAATAGTGTGTATCACGGAGACAGTAGACAATAGTGTGCATCACTGAGAGAGTAGACAATAGTGTGTATCACTAGACAGTAGACAATAGTTTGTGTCACCTAGAAAGTAGACAATAGTATGTATCACTAGACAGTAGACATATGGTGTGTATCACTAGACAATAGTGTGTATCACTAGACAGTAGACAATAGTTTGTGTCACCTAGAAAGTAGACAATAGTATGTATATCCGGCAGACTGCAGTCCTGACCTAGAAATATTGTGTGCATTATGGAGATATTTCACAGTAACATGGGAATGCTGGAGTTAAAGTACCTAAGACAACAACTCATAATATGTAAGTTTAGTTGGTTGCTTCTAATTGAGTGGGAGTTTAACAGTTTAGACCGCAGTGGAGAGGCTGAACTCACACACATTGTAGCACATACATTGCATTTGTCTAGATGATGCTATACACAGATCATGGAATAATGGTAAACATCCACAACGTGGCATGCATCACAAGTGAAATATTCTGTGTTTCCAATCTATCACCCCAGTCATTTCCCACATAAACGCTCAGTCACTTCACTTCCCACATTAAGGCCCACTCACTTGTTCCCACATAAAGGCCCAGTCACTTCACTTCCCACATAAGGGCCTAGTCAATACACTTCCCACATAAAGGCCCTGTCACTTCACTTCCGACATAAGGGCCTAGTCAATACATTTCCCACATAAAGTCCCAGTCACTTCACTTCCCACATAAGGGCCTAGTCAATACACTTCCCACATAAAGGCCCAGTCACTTCACTTCCCACATAAGGGCCTAGTCAATACACTTCCCACATAAAGGCCCAGTCACTTCACTTCCCACATAAGGGCCTAGTCAATACACTTCCCACATAAAGGCCCAGTCACTTCACTTCCCACATAAGGGCCTAGTCAATACATTTCCCACATAAAGTCCCAGTCACTTCACTTCCCACATAAGGGCCTAGTCACAACACTTCCCACATAAAGGCCCAGTCACTTCACTTCCCACATAAGGGCCTAGTCAATACACTTCTATCATAAAGGCCCAGTCACTTCACTTCCCACATAAGGGCCTAGTCAATACACTTCCCACATAAAGGCCCAGTCACTTCACTTCCCACTCGTCATTGAACACAAGTCCTCCCAACCCAGTTTGTTCCCAGTACTGCAGCAGGTGAGAGAACAAGCTGACAACAATGACAGTGTTAGTGAGATGACAACACAGTGCCTACCCTTGGAGTTGCTTCGTGTGGTCTTTGATGGACTCTTGTTCTTACTGGCTGAGTCAGCTGATGCAGTCGAGTTCTTGGTCTTGCGTGTCTCCAGACTGTAGGGTAGCTCCAGGGTGCTGTGGGAAGACAGAGAGGGAGACATTGCACTTTCCAGGTTGAATGCTGAGACTTTCTGTAAAATGGAGTCCTAACATGGAGAGTTAAAGGAAGAACAGGTTTCACACACCACTGCCTCTAAGCTAAACCACCAGGCAACACACCTAGGGTCCACATCACTATGCTTCACCACAAGGTCAAACCACTCAGATAATGTTGGCTACAGTTCTCATGTATCAAATCAGCAATTTCCAAGTTACCTTGGTCTCAGGATGTTTCCCCCAAACGTCTCTTTGGGGTTGACACGAATCTTGCGATGGCCTCTTGATTTGGAGGTCAACTCAAACTCTTCCTCATCATTGTAGTCATCGTCAAGGATGGCAGGAACTGCCCGATCCATGGGTCGGAGTTTGGTCTTGGATCTCTTTACTAGTGGTACTAGGGGCTCGGGAGTAGAGTCTCGAGCACTGGAATTCTAGAAATAAGACAAGGAATACCATCAAAATGATAAATCATAATAAATCAAAGGGTTATAATAATATTAGCCGGACGAAGATCACCGTTCCTGTTGAGTTCTAGTACGCCATGACTATAACAGGTCTGGAAATCTCCAGCTATAACAGCTATGGATTGTTGTGTGAACACTGGGTCTAGGACTTGGTGAATGTGAGTAACACACTTTGGACCATCTCATGTCCAGGAAACGTTTTCATAACACCAGGCTTTGACATGTAATTATATGTTATCACTATTGGTAAACATTACTGGTCAGTTACTAATTTATGCAGTGTTACCAATGTGAATATAACCTATGAGTTACTATTACATGGCAATGCAGATCTGACTGTTCACATAAATCAAAACATATTTAAAATTGTTCAAACATATATTTGCCAATCAAAACGACTTTCTTAATTGTTGCAACTGTTCCTCTCTTTCCCATCTTTCTGTTCTTCTCTGTCCATCTTGTAGAATGAATGTAAATAATACTATGTAAATACTACGGAGACGGTGTTGTATAACTTGTACCCAATCCTTTTCAGACAGAATTTCCTCGTAGACTAGCAGTATGTGGGCCAGAAAACATTTCTACTACTTGTGCATGATGGAAGTGTTCCTACCTTCTCCTCGACATCTCCAGCGGACGAGTCAGTGGTGGTGGAGGAGATCTCATCCCGGTCGTCTGTCAGGGAGTTCTCATGTTGGGGCAGCAGGACTTTGTCCTTCAAAAGGTCCCGCTCCAGGCGAGTCCTGTTCTTCTTCTTGTTCTTCATCTTACCCAGCTTCAGCTGGCTCACCTCTTCCTTTATCTCTGTGATGTCATCAACAGCGTTCCCCATAGTCAGTGCTGGACCGACCGTTCCATCATCGGTATGGCCCCTAGTATCTCGCTTTTCGGGGGTCATTAAGGTCCATTCGATGCGTTCTGTTCTGGAATGGTCATATCTTTAATACCCGGTCTCCGGATCTAGTCGGCAGGTGCCCATCAGCGAGTTGAATCCTGATTCCGTCTGGATGTGGATCTGGATTTTTCATTCTGTGTGGTGGTATGGATTTCTCTGTGGCCACAGTTTCCTGTGGTGGGGTTGGGGTTGGGGTTGGGGTTGGGGTTGGGGTTGGGGTGGTTGCTGGTGTTGGTTTGTCTTTATCAATGGTCTGTGGCTTTGCACTGGTAATTACAGACACAGACTTTGCTTCAGCTCGCGGGAACTCTGTCTCTCAACATGAGATCGCCGTGAAAAGAGTGATATTTTTCGTGGAATGAGATTTCTGAGAACACTGAGAATGCTGCCGATGAAAGGTTCTCTACGTGCCTGCTTGTACTCCAAGTGGCCGTTGATCTCGATCATCTGCCGTCCTCTCATGTCTGCTGTTAAGTGAGGTGGGGGAGGCTTGGGAGAGATGGACAAGCCCGCTACATTACGTAAATCAAAAACTTTCCCTTTGTCGAATGACTGCGCTGTGTTGACTCGGAGCTTACGTTTGAGTATGTCTGCCACGATGATCCGATCTGCTTCAAAGTATGCTGCCACAAGGATGCAGAAGAGGAGGAAGTTCATGACGCATACGATGGAGTAATACAGCACGGGTTCCCAGTTGGGCCGGGGCAGTGCTGCAGAGCACTTGGACAGGAGGTGGGGGGGAACTGTTGCCTGTAGCGTGTAGTTGGCTGGCGGACCTAAACTTGTGTGAACTGTCAGGGACCTCCGGATTCTTGACATGGTAAAATCTGGGGTGAAGCTGCAAATAACCAACAAAACCAGTGAGAAAATTATTTGTTAATTCTGTTTGTCCTTTATTTACATTGACACTGTAATAAGACATGTCTGAGGCCAAAAGATAGGAACAGACTCTTCCACTCTTGTGATTCAAGAGGTGAAACTTTAACACAATTACCTGAAGGAACCTCATCAAGTCTTGTGATTGAGGGAACAAGTGAGTGATTTACTACGATTACATATAGCTAAAAGTGATACCCATCTTACATGTGTAGTATTTGTTTAAAGCCAAGAGCAGGGGTGTGGTGCTGACAAAGCAAGGTCACTGGGAATCTTTCACACCTCACTGATGCATCAGTGCTCATACTGCCCAATACCACAGCAGAGAAAGATTGACACTGGTGACCTGATGATGAGACCAGCTCTACACAGGATCTTCAGCATGCAGATGTACTTACGCAATATCTATTTTTCTGCTTGTATTTGGTGGCATTTCAAATCCTTCACAGTCTAAAATTTTGAAACCATAGCCTTCACAGGGTGAGTCATTGATGCTGAATCCCTGGACGTAGAACGGTAGTTCCCCCGTGTTCCGCAGTGTGAATGTCCTCCTCACGGTAAAATGTGGCACCATGCTCTTGCTGGGCTTTTTCTCTGAAACTGCAGTAACCATGGTAACACCTTAATGAATGTAGTTGATAAGCCATTAGAAAGACATGAAATCCTGGCACCACACATTCAACTAAAGAACAATAATATTTTAAAAAACATGTAATATTTAGAGTAAAATTGATATTTTATACTTATCCTGACTCATGCTCTTTTGCTTGTCTCCTTCCTCTTGCGAACATAGTGGAACACTTGTATCTCCCTAATTGAAGCTCCCTTCAATGTAAAATCACTAATTAGCGCTCACCACGAATTACCTCCCTTCCACAGGCGTGGGAACGAGGGCGCCACCTTCACCCATGTGCCTCACTCTCTCCTCATATACTGAGCCCAACATTTGAATTTACAGGGAAATCCAAAGTGTTATGTGGGGAGGATGGGAGGGCTGACCTCATGAGTCAGGATAAGTATAAAATATCAATTTTACTCTAAAAATTACATATTTTTCCTTATCCTGACTCATGCTCTTTTGCTTGTAGAATCCGACGGAAAGGAGGTGGGAATATATATACTTTGGATTTTTAATAATTAGTGATTTGAACTGTGATGATTGTAATAACCCTATGGGAACTTCATAAAGGCACTGAACTGATGAATTCCTGCTGCTAACTTATCAGCTGCCATATAAAGGTTATTACAATGTACTTATTATGATAAAGTATATATAACATTAATACAATGCTTAAGACTAATAGACTTAAGCTTGTTAATATGCTAGTATAAACTCCTTAGAGTTTGTTAGCTAAAATACTTTAAGATATAAACATAGTACTAAGCTTAAGATATGATTAAACTTAAGCTAATTAAATTAGCAAACTCTTTAGAGTTTGTTAGTTAATATACTTATATGATACAGATATAATGCTGAGCTTAAGATAAGATAAAGCTTTAGCTACATATATAATAGCAAAACTCTGTAGAGTTTGTTAGCTAATATATTTTTACAATATGAATATAGTACTCCGCTTAAGATATAATTAACTTAAGCTACATATATAATAGCAAAACTCTGTAGAGATTGTTAGCTAATATATTTTTACAATATGAGTATAGTACTATGCTTAAGATATAATTAACTTGAGCTACATATATAATAGCAAAACTCTGTAGAGATTGTTAGCTAATATATTTTTTCAATGAGTATAGTACTGTGCTTAAGATATAATTAACTTAAGCTACATATATAATAGCAAAACTCTGTAGAGTTTGTTAGCTAATATATTTTTACAATATGAGTATAGTACTGTGCTTAAGATATAATTAACTTAAGCTACATATATAATAGCAAAACTCCGTAGAGTTTGTTAGCTAATATATTTTACAATATGAGTATAGTACTGTGCTTAAGATATAATTAACTTAAGCTACATATACAATAGCCAAAAACTCTGTAGAGTTTATTAGCTAATAGATTTATAATGTAACCCTAGTACTAAGCTTAAGATAAGATTAGACTTAAGCTAAATGAATATAGCAAAAAAATCCTCCTTAGAGTTTATTAACTAATATACTTTTATGTTATAAACATAGTACTGAGCTTAAGATATGATTAAACTTAAGCTATATATATATAATAGCAAACTCTGTCGAGTTTTGTTAGCTAATACATTTTATAATGTAAATATACTGCTTAAGATATGATGAAACTTAAGCTAATTGTACAAAACCCTTTAGAGTTTGTTAGCTAAAATACTTATATGATATAAACCTAGTATTGAGCTTATGAAGGAAAACTTAAGCTACATAAATAATAGCAAAAACTCCGTAGAGTTTGTTAGCTAATACATGTTATAATGTAACCATAAAGCTTAAAATATGATGAAAACTTAAGCTAAATATATAATAGCAAAAACCTCTTTTAGAGTTTTGATAGCTAATATACCTATATGATATAAACATAGTACTGCGCTTAAGATATGAATAAACTTAAGTTACATATATAAATAGCAAAAACTCTGTAGAGTTTGTTAGCTAATACATGTTATAAAAATAGCCATATTGCTCAGAATATGATGACATATTATCATGTTACAATAGTACTACTCTTAAGATATGATTAACTTAAGGTAAATATATAATAACAAACTCTGTAGAGTTGTTAACTTGTATATTGTATGATGTAATAATCATAGTACTGTGATGATAAAAGGAACTTAAGCAAATTATATATAACATGTAACTATTTAGTACTGTTATAAGATAAGTAGAAAACTGTAAGATTGACTTATCTTCTCCGAGGAACAGTCAATTGTTGTGCGAGGACCATGGGATCGAATTGGTGGATACCTGAGACGTCCTCAGTGGTGATATCTCTCAGATAATGGTTGGCAACCACCATATCGGATCTCCAGAAATAAACCCTCCATTATTCCAAATAACATAGTGTAGATCAATTGTAGAAGTTAACGCTCTAATATCATGAGTATTAAAAGCTCATGGAGGATCGGGTTGGGTCCATCCGTCTTGTATGCACATAGTATGACAGTTCTGATCCAAACGGAGATATAGTACGTGAGACTTCATTCTGCCTAAGTTGATGATAGAGGAAATAATCTGTTGCATTTTCCCTTCCTGTTTGGTTCAGTGGAGATTAATTTACAGTGCTCTTGTTGGCCATCGTGATAGAATCATCGTATCATGGAGCCCAAGTATGTCATCCAGGCGTGTTCATAAACCTCACTTGTGAGGTGTTGGAGCACTATATTCAGATTCCCAAGTTGGAGTGTGAAACTTCCGTTTAATTCTCCAATCAGAAGCTTAAGTAGGTTACTAACCATCTAGTTGTGTTAGTAGCTTGATGATGAAATTCAGCTGTAGTCTGAGATGCTGTGGATTTAGATCCACTTGTATCCCGTCGTCTAGGTAATTCGCTGCGAAGTCCTTGATGATGTAGGTTCACAACCAGGTGTGTCTGTCCTCGTGAACTTTATGAAAAATCGCCTGACTGCCGTGCCCTCGTCTTAACTTGACAGGGGAGGTCTCTAACCTGAAGAAAGCAGCCTAATCATGAAGGTTCAGGTTAACTGGACTGTAAGGAGGCTTGCTCGTTCACTGATATATAGTTGTCACTTGTGACGTAAGTCTTGCACTGTGAACTAAGATCGACCTCTATGTAGGGCGTTGTCCATCGCAGTCCAATCAGAACAAGGCATTTTGATTCTGTATGATACCCACGCTGTGATGTCACCGGTGTAGTAGGAAAAAACCTTGTATAAAATCTTGCCGTCGTTGATAATAGCATAAATGTCGGTCTTCACCGTAGCTTCCCGAAGTTACCCGAGTGACCACGTGTTTCGAGGGTTAGTGGTAAACGCGCGAAACCTCCAGCGCGAAATACCTCGCTCTGTAATATTATTGCTGGGTAGGTTATTTTCCTGGCTGTCGTGAAAGTAACTTCAGTTTTGAATATAATTCCCACTTCCTTATATAAAGGTACAATAAACTTGCAAGTTGTCATCTTGTAGACTGTATACATGAATGTATCGTCATAATTGTAGAATTAAAGCTGAACTTGTTGTACATATTTCTTCTCAGAAGCGTTGGCGATTATGAGTTATACTCGCTGTAACAAGGCTGCTGTTCAATTTCGATATTGAATTGTCTGCAGATATGCGTAATGGTCACGCATGTAGATAATCGTATCGCCGTCCGAGATTGCATATTCTAGCAATTTATACGGAATAGTTGATTTCTGTGAAGATCTATGAAAACGTCGTTGACTAAATAATACAGCGACGTTTTGTGTTGTAAATAGCCTGTGCAATTGTCTTCGCGTAGGCTTATAGACGGCATCTGACATACAGTTGATAGACAACTTATGCGATGTGTTGAACGGACTGACGAGTAGCTATATATGACGAGTGGCTAGTATATGGAGACCTTGGAGGAAACTTCCTCGGTGAATGCCGAAGACTTCGCGAAGCTCTCGAAGTATCCTTTCTAGATTTTCTGGGTGAAGTAGACTTGCAGCAACTTAGCCTTCGCGACCTTGGCGAAGGTATCGAGTCAAAGCCCGATTAGTATATATATATAATATATATATGGCTTGCCATGAAACGACCTCTGTGTTAAACAGGATGTGGGGGCGGCGCTACTCTCCGCGATGTCCCTTGTGGCGGTGAGGCTCTAGCTCCTCTCGAGGCTGACCTGGGACTTGCTGGCTGTGCATAAGTAGGGCCGCATGGATCATCTTATCATCTTCAGAAGTCATGTTACAAAGTCTGGTGATAAGTGTCTTATTGATCGTTCTAGATCTATTTAGGCCAGAGAACATACGTCTAGTCATGGATTCAACTGAACCAATTTACGATTGTAGTTCTTATTCTTGATATCGATGATCAACTTGTCTATGGGTTGATCTTCGGAGAACTTAATGAGGAGCGTTGATAGCCTCGCGAAGCTCTTGTATAGTCCCTTGATGTCCTTCTAGATGATGATGATCTGGATTCAGGTGTCCTTGGCGAATGCCTTCGCGAAGCTTCCTCTGCGTCCGGTCCGGGGGAACGAGGATATGACCTTCGCGAAGGCTTCCGTGATGTCTGATGGTCCGAGTCCACATCTAGGGATGAAACCGAAGAAAGTGATGATCTATCCCGCCTGCGCGAAGTCCTTTGCGATGGCTGTACATCTAGGTCCTTCCCGCCTTAGCGAAGTCCTTTGCGAAGGCTGTACATCTAGGTCCTTCATCAAGGTGGTCCGTGACTTCCTTCGCGAAGGTGACATCGTCCTGGCTGCTACGTTGACGGGGGGTGCCTCTGGGGTGCTGTCTACGTTGGAGCCTTCGCGAAGGCTCGGTCCCTGCTTTTGCAGTCTGTAGCGGTCCTCCATCATGGTCATAATTTGCCGCATCAGGTCCTCAGGGATGGTCTGCGACGAGGTCGTCGGTGCCTTATCTGCAGGTGTTAATGGAGGGGTCCACAGGAATATCGTCCGACATCAGTGTAGAGGCATCAGGCTGCATGGTGATCTCTGCTGATGTCATTGTAGCTGTCACCGGTCGCTTCTTGTGGCGTACGTCGGGGATGATGATCGGCTGATCATCATAGAGGTCCAGGTCATCGGCTGGAACAATCTCGGTTGAGAAAGTCCTAGTAGACTTCGTTGATTTCCCCTCAGAGGTCGACGCTGCCCTGGGTGTGCTACGTCTGCGTTGAGTGTTCGTAGCGATGGGACCCTCAGGAAGATCATCGAATATCAGCGTTGGTACATCAGGCTGCATGCTGATCTGCGCTGACATCACTGTTGCCGACATCAGTCATTCTTTTGATGTACATCAGGTATGATGATCGGCTGATCATCATACAGGCCCAAATCTGCGAAGGGAACAATCTCGGCTGTTGACTGTAGTAGAAAACCCTCCAGTCTTCGGCTGCGACGATGGGATGTCTGGGGAAGCAGGATGCTTCTTGGAGAGGGCGGACTACGTCCCATGCCTCTCCACCACTCTAGCGGAACACCACATGGGAGGGGGGTCGGCCAACAGCAGTAGACTGGCGAGGGGTTCAGGTGTATCAGTCATACTAGACTCTGCATACGCGACCTATCTGCTGCGCGTCTCAAACGCAAAGTAAATATTAATAATAGGTAGAATTGGATAAATTAGTACCGCAACTGCAACGTGAATAAAATGAACATGGCGCAGTACAACTAAGGCATATAAAAAACGTAATCTGCAATAGTACAGAATTTTCATCAACGTAATCCACTGAAACAAACACGGCGTCCCGTGAATAAACTGTAGAAAAACGACTAAATATCAATATATAATTGTTGAAAGATACTAGCTAAACCTCTATAGATGTCTATACGAGGTAACTAAGTAAATATAATCAAAGGATATAGTGTGTCGGAAGACACAGGTGCTCTCACGTCCAGCTCACTGGGCGAAGAAGGAGAGAGTGAGGCACATGGGTGGAGGTGGCGCCCTCGTTCCCGAGCTTGTGGAAGGGAGGTAACTCGTGGTGAGCGCTAATTAGTGAATTTACATTGAAGGGAGCTTCAATTAGGGAGATACAAGTGTTCCACTATGTTCGCAAGAGGAAGGAGACAAGCAAAAGAGCATGAGTCAGGATAAGGAAAAATAACATAGTTTACCATAGTTTTCTGAAGAACAAACATTTCAGTACAACTATTGTCTACACTGCTTATTCTTATAGAGGATCACACTTACTATCACAGTTTTTCAAATGTTTTTCGTTCATATCGAACATGAGGGGTGAATGTGAGCCCGGCTTCCTGTTGCTGAACCGCATCTCCCCGCGACACCCCTGGCCCTGCACCACCACCATGTCAATGATGGTCAGGTTGTTTCTGTAACACAATGTAGGACACAACTCAACACAACGTACACCCCTGGCCCTGCACCACCACCATGTCAATGATGGTCAGGTTGTTTCTGTAACACAATGTAGGACACAACTCAACACAATGTACACCCCTGGCCCTGCACCACCACCGTGTCAATGATGGTCAGGATGTTTCTGTAACACAATGTAGGACACAACTCAACACAACGTACACCCCTGGCCCTGCACCACCACCGTGTCAATGATGGTCAGGTTGTTTCTGTAACACAATGTAGGACACAACTCAACACAATGTACACCCCTGGCCCTGCACCACCACCGTGTCAATGATGGTCAGGTTGTTTCTGTAACACAATGTAGGACACAACTCAACACAATGTACATGTATCCATGACTCAACACAACACAATATATTCTAAAGAAAGAAAGAGGCAGTTCTGAATGGAAAACAAAAGCAGTAACTCTGTATTGTGGATAAATGTACAGACTCTTGTATTACGTCAATTTCTGTCAGGTGTTGCTCCATGTGATGTGTCCGATAGCAAACGTGTGTAAAACTGCCTATAAAGATGAATGTTGATTGTGGAGCTGAGGCTGGATGATGACCAATACTGGCATCTAGTGTGTCCCATGAACAGTTCTTACCTTATTAGTATAATGGATGTTCTGGAGTAGTCGTCCTTGGGTTGGAAACCCACCCTGACCTTCAACTTGGCCCCCGGTTGTAGTACAGAGGCTATGGAGTGTTTGTGTGCCTTCACTCCCAGCAAGTTCTCAACAGACTTGCGTAGTCCAGGGATTGGATTCTGAGCATTGTCCTGAAAACACAACATGCCTCACAGTTGCAGAACAGTGTAAGAGACATAGAGCCAACCTTCTAGTACAAAGTGATGGGTTCAAGGTCTCATCAAAACAACTACTTAACAACAAAGGAAGTATAACAGGTGACTGAAGTCTGTAAATTCATTTCGTGACCATGTACAAACACCACTCAGTTCTGTTAACAATATTTCGGGCGAGGTGTCACAGGCTTGATCCTGTAGAAACGCTCTATTTCTGACTCAACTTGTGTGGTTGAGGATACACACTTGTGCTTTTATACAAAATGAAGAGGTATCATTAGGCCTGATATCATGATGACAAGCTGATACATTTATGTCAGGTATTATGACATACATGTTACCCGAGTCTTGCAACCCCCCTAGGTGTATATACCAAGAATGTATCTTGGTGCATGTATAGTGAAGCACGTATAGACTCATGTATTGTGAGGCAGCACTGAGAGACTGACTGACTGACTGACTGACTGAGTTTGGTTTTACGCCGCTTTTAGCAATATTCCAGCAACGGCACGGCGGGGGACACCAGAAATGGGCTTCATACATTGTACCCATGTGGGGACAGCACTGTGAGACAAATATTGTGAAGAATGATGTATTGTCAAGCATGTGTTGTGAAGAATGTACTGTGAAGCATGTGTTGTGAAGGATGTACTGTGAAGCATGTGTTGTGAAGGATGTACTGTGAAACATGTGTTGTGAAGGATGTACTGTGAAGCATGTGTTGTGAAGAATGATGTATTGTCAAGCATGTGTTGTGAAGAATGATGTATTGTCAAGCATGTGTTGTGAAGAATGATGTATTGTCAAGCATGTGTTGTGAAGAATGATGTATTGTCAAGCATGTGTTGTGAAGGATGTACTGTGAAGCATGTGTTGTGAAGGATGTACTGTGAAGCATGTATTGTGAAGCAGGTACTGTGAAGCATGTATTGTGAAGCACATATTGTGAAGGACGTATTGTGAATCATGTATACTGAAGCATGTATTGTGAAGCACAAACTGTGAAGCATGTACTGTGAAGCACGTATTGTGAAGGATGTATTGTGAATCATGTATACTGAAGCATGTATTGTGAAGCACGTATTGTGAAGGATGTATTGTGAATCATGTATACTGAAGCATGTATTGTGAAGCACGTATTGTGAAGGATGTATTGTGAATCATGTATACTGAAGCATGTATTGTGAAGCACAAACTGTGAAGCATGTACTGTGAAGCACGTATTGTGAAGGATGTACTGTGAAGCATGTACTGTGAAGCATGTATTGTGAAACACGTATTGTGAAGGATGTACTGTGAAGCATGTACTGTGAAGGATGTACTGTGAAGCATGTACTGTGAAGCACGTATACTGAAGCATGTACTGTGAAGCAAGTGCCACCTGTAATGGACAACTTACATTATACTCTTCCAAGTCCTGGAGAGTGAAGGTTTCTAAGTCCTCAGTTTCTATAAAGTCTGTAAGGTCAGCTGATAACCTGGAACAGTCATGGTTACCATAGTTACAGGTCATGGAAATGGCTACAGTGGTAACACATCACAAGGATGGATGATGCAGGCATACTGTACAACAAATAACATGTTCACTAATGTGTAACGTACCTGGTATTTGATTGAGATCAGTGTGAAATACTACCTAGCTTTGTACAGCCTACACTACTGATAATGCACCAACAGCCTTTGCTTCAGAGTGATGTATGGTATGACCTATGAAGGTTTTCCATGAAACTTGGACTGACTGACTGAATTTGGTTTTATGCCGCTTTTAGCAATATTCCAGCAGCATCACGGCAGGGGACACCAGAAATGGGCTTCACACATTGTGCCCATGTGGGGATTTGAACCCTGGTCTTCGGCGTGACGAGCCAACGCTTTAACCATTAGGCTACCCCACAGCCCCCATGAAACTTGGAGCATCAAGCAGCAAATACATAACCCAATATACCATTAGACCATTACTTATGGATTGTTGGTTCTACAAGGAGTGACTTACTTGTAGTTGAGTAGATCCAGGATTGTATGAGGGTTTGGATATAATGGAAGAGGCAGAATCTGCATTAAAACGGGCAGGTCGCCTGTGTTCTCTACTATAAAATCTGATATCTGCAAGTAAAACATAAATAACTGGTGTAAGTCTGTCTTGTCACAATGAGAGCACATAAGTAATTGAATGTAAGTTATTTTTTTCAGTTTTCCTCTTTGTATTTGTTTGTTTGTTGTTTAACACCACACTCAGCAATATTCCAGCTACAACGCAGCTTCTCCTCTTTGTAATTAGAACAAGTAACATAACATGAAATCTTGGCGAGGAATGCATGGCTCTCCTGCATATTAGGATCATCATGGAAGTCTGTGATTACATGATAATAATTACTCACAGATAATGCCCTGGAACATCACCTCACCTGTCACACTGACTGTGCTATTATCATGCTGTTTAACTGTGCTACTTACTGATATGTTGCCTATCTGTGTCAAGGGAAACTTGATCTTGCATTTTCGCACCAGCGATGGCCAGTGCAGATGTGCCTGAGCCGAGAATAAAAAACCCCGAACTTGGTTTGTGTCTAACTCAATGGTAACATTTGCTCTGAAAAAGAAACAACACACTGTCACCATATTTGTGGAGGAGACATTTTACAGGATAAACAACATTTTCAACTCATATTTCAACATAAGGCCATTACCTGACTTTAATTTAGGGATTTTTCTCTAGTTCTGAAACCGGTAAAATGTAAAACTTGGTATCATGATGTGGAAATGACAAATCACTTTAGTAAGAAAATCTTCCACCGTGAAAATGTAAGAAGCGGCTTGGATATTGATCACAATTCATCTGCCTTGAGCTGCCGGGTAATGTTGAGGTAGAACCGTCGACCTCGATAACTAGTCGTACTATGACTCATTCAATCTGATGCATGAGTCAAGAATATCACTAATGAACAATCAATGAAAATGGAACATAATGAAAATGGAAAAAAATGAAAATCTAAAAAGCTCTCAGTAGCAAAAGGTATATCTTGAAAACATGGTATTTGTGTGTACAAAGTTTCAAGAATGAATTCCAGTCAGTTTTAGAGATGTGACCACAACAAACATGATTACAGAAGGACAGAAAAGCACCTTATGATAGAATGCTAAACAGTTAACTTTATACAAACTATTGACAACATGCTATTGCCTGGTTTCCCCTTCAAAATGATGAGAGAAAGGAGCACTGAAGGGGGATAACTCCGGGGGTTGACCTGGAGGAGAGCACCCCACTTTGAGTCATGTTTCATGATTGAATGGAGAATTATTTCCTTCTGTCTTTTAAGTATTCTCAACGACAATCTGAGCAAGAACCTATCGGCCCCATGAACACCTGACAAATGTGTACTATCAATGAAGCACAACTCAACACAACAGGCCAGACCTGTTCCATCTGAACATGAACAGTATCTTCTAGTCTCTACTAACGTATTTTCTTCTGAGAGTTCTAGCTCCTCCCACTTCTGCTGCAATCGTGTGTATAGGTACTGGTCTGTGTCTGCAACCTCCTTGTCCAGCGACAGGCCCAGCAGCCACTGGTGTCCAGCTGTAACACAACATAACACAAGGTAACACAACAGTCAGGTGTGTGTAGCAACACAGTCACTCATCCTGACGACCAGACTCAAGTAAGTAGACTCTGACAAGGATGCTGTGGTATGTGAGTGAAGATTACAGCCACAACCAGCTATCTTCCAGCTACAAGTACGTATCAGCTGTCTGTAAACAATGAGGGCAACAGTGGTCGGCGGACCTGGATAAACCCAGGTTATCACAAGACTACTAGATTGTATAATCGACCGGAGCCCAACACAAACACTGTTGTAGCAAGTTCCTACTTACCAGGTACATATGTCGGTAAACCAACGTAACAATCTTCTTGGCAACCCCTTTTGGAGTCAAAATAAATTTTTCCAACCTGAAAAGACAAACAGCAAGAGATCAGAGAACTGATTTATGGACCATATACATATATTTCTTTCAACAGGCGAATCTATGAAGGAAGGAGCCTAAAATGAAAACCATGTTGTGGTTCTGGGGGAGAAATCTACTCACAACATTATGTTAGTGGGGCTGAAGTAAAACGGTGTTGTGGTTCTGGGAGAGAAACCTACTCACAACATTATGTTAGTGGGGCTGAAGTAAAACGGTGTTGTGGTTCTGGGGGAGAAATCTACTCACAACATTATGTTAGTGGGGCTGAAGTAAAACTGTGTTGTGGTTCTGGGGGAGAAATCTACTCACAACATTATGTTAGTAGGGCTGAAGTAAAACCGTGTTGTGGTTCTGGGGGAGAAACCTACTCACAACATTATGTTAGTGGGGCTGAAGTAAAACCATGTTGTGGTTCTGGGGGAGAAATCTACTCACAACATTATGTTAGTAGGGCTGAAGTAAAACGGTGTTGTGGTTCTGGGGGAGAAATCTACTCACAACATTATGTTAGTGGGGCTGAAGTAAAACCGTGTTGTGGTTCTGGGGGAGAAATCTACTCACAACATTATGTTAGTAGGGCTGAAGTAAAACGGTGTTGTGGTTCTGGGGGAGAAATTTACTCACAACATTATGTTAGTGGGGCTGAAGTAAAACGTGTTGTGGTTCTGGGGGAGAAATCTACTCACAAGATTATGTTAGTAGGGCTGAAGTAAAACGGTGTTGTGGTTCTGAGGGAGAAATCTACTGACAAGATTATGTTAGTGGGGCTGAAGTAAAACCGTGTTGTGGTTCTGGGAGAGAAATCTACTCACAACATTATGTTAGTGGGGCTGAAGTAAAACGGTGTTGTGGTTCTGGGGGAGAAATCTACTCACAAGATTATGTTAGTGGGGCTGAAGTAAAACCGTGTTGGGTTCTGGGGGAGAAATCTACTCACAAGATTATGTTAGTGGGGCTGAAGTAAAACCGTGTTGTGGTTCTGGGAGAGAAATCTACTCACAACATTATGTTAGTGGGGCTGAAGTAAAACCATGTTGTGGTTCTGGGGGAGAAATCTACTCACAAGATTATGTTAGTGGGGCTGAAGTAAAATGGTGTTGTGGTTCTGGGGGAGAAATCTACTCACAAGATTATGTTAGTGGGGCTGAAGTAAAACGGTGTTGTGGTTCTGGGGGAGAAATCTACTCACAACATTATGTTAGTGGGGCTGAAGTAAAACCATGTTGTGGCTCTGGGGGAGAAATCTACTCACAACATTATGTTAGTGGGGCTGAAGTAAAACGTGTTGTGGTTCTGGGGGAGAAATCTACTCACAAGATTATGTTAGTGGGGCTGAAGTAAAACAGTGTTGTGGTTCTGGGGGAGAAATCTACTCACAACAACATGTTAGTGGGGCTGAAGTAAAACCATGTTGTGGTTCTGGGGGAGAAATCTACTCACAACATTATGTTAGTGGGGCTGAAGTAAAACCATGTTGTGGCTCTGGGGGAGAAATCTACTCACAACATTATGTTAGTGGGGCTGAAGTAAAACGTGTTGTGGTTCTGGGGGAGAAATCTACTCACAAGATTATGTTAGTGGGGCTGAAGTAAAACAGTGTTGTGGTTCTGGGGGAGAAATCTACTCACAACATTATGTTAGTGGGGCTGAAGTAAAACGGTGTTGTGGTTCTGGGGGAGAAATTTACTCACAACATTATGTTAGTAGGGCTGAAGTAAAACCGTGTTGTGGTTCTGGGGGAGAAATCTACTCACAACATTATGTTAGTGGGGCTGAAGTAAAACGGTGTTGTGGTTCTGGGGGAGAAATCTACTCACAACAACATGTTAGTGGGGCTGAAGTAAAACGGTGTTGTGGTTCTGGGGGAGAAATCTACTCACAACATTATGTTAGTGGGGCTGAAGTAAAACGGTGTTGTGGTTCTGGGGGAGAAATTTACTCACAACAACATGTTAGTAGGGGGCTGAAGTAAAAGCAGTGTTGTGGTTCTGGGGAGAAATCTACTCACAACATTATGTTAGTGGGCTGAAGTAAAACGGTGTTGTGGTTCTGGGGGAGAAATCTACTCACAACAACATGTTAGTGGGGCTGAAGTAAAACGGTGTTGTGGTTCTGGGGGAGAAATCTACTCACAACATTATGTTAGTAGGGCTGAAGTAAAACGGTGTTGTGGTTCTGGGGGAGAAATTTACTCACAACATTATGTTAGTAGGGCTGAAGTAAAACCGTGTTGTGGTTCTGGGGGAGAAATCTACTCACAACATTATGTTAGTGGGGCTGAAGTAAAACGGTGTTGTGGTTTTGGGGGAGAAATCTACTCACAACATTATGTTAGAGGGGCTGAAGTAAAACGGTGTTGTGGTTCTGGGGGAGAAATCTACTCACAAGATTATGTTAGTAGGGCTGAAGTAAAACGGTGTTGTGGTTCTGGGGGAGAAATCTACTCACAACATTATGTTAGTGGGGCTGAAGTAAAACGGTGTTGTGGTTCTGGGGGAGAAATCTACTCACAAGATTATGTTAGTGGGGCTGAAGTAAAACCGTGTTGTGGTTCTGGGGGAGAAATCTACTCACAACATTATGTTAGTGGGGCTGAAGTAAAACGGTGTTGTGGTTCTGGGGGAGAAATCTACTCACAAGATTATGTTAGTGGGGCTGAAGTAAAACGGTGTTGTGGTTCTGGGGAGAAATCTACTCACAACATTATGTTAGTGGGGCTGAAGTAAAACCGTGTTGTGGTTCTGGGGGAGAAATCTACTCACAACATTATGTTAGTGGGGCTGAAGTAAAACGGTGTTGTGGTTCTGGGGGAGAAATCTACTCACAAGATTATGTCAGTGGGGCTGAAGTAAAACGGTGTTGTGGTTCTGGGGGAGAAATCTACTCACAAGATTATGTTAGTTGGGCTGAAGTAAAACGGTGTTGTAGTTCTGGGGGAGAAATCTACTCACAAGATTATGTCAGTGGGGCTGAAGTAAAACGTGTTGTGGTTCTGGGGGAGAAATCTACTCACAAGATTATGTTAGTGGGGCTGAAGTAAAACCGTGTTGTGGTTCTGGGGGAGAAATCTACTCACAACATTATGTTAGTGGGGCTGAAGTAAAACCGTGTTGTGGTTTTGGGGGAGAAATCTACTCACAAGATTATGTTAGTGGGGCTGAAGTAAAACGTGTTGTGGTTCTGGGGGAGAAATCTACTCACAACATCATGTTAGTGGGGCTGAAGTAAAACGTGTTGTGGTTCTGGGGGAGAAATCTACTCACAAGATTATGTTAGTGGGGCTGAAGTAAAACGGTGTTGTGGTTCTGGGGGAGAAATCTACTCACAACATTATGTTAGTGGGGCTGAAGTAAAAGCGTGTTGTGGTTCTGGGGAGAAATCTACTCACAAGATTATGTTAGTGGGGCTGAAGTAAAAGCGGTGTTGTGGTTCTGGGGAGAAATCTACTCACAACATTATGTTAGTGGGGCTGAAGTAAAACCGTGTTGTGGTTCTGGGGGAGAAATCTACTCACAAGATTATGTTAGTGGGGCTGAAGTAAAACCATGTTGTGGTTCTGGGGGAGAAATCTACTCACAACATTATGTTAGTGGGGCTGAAGTAAAACGTGTTGTGGTTCTGGGGGAGAAATCTACTCACAACATTATGTTAGTGGGGCTGAAGTAAACCGTGTTGTGGTTCTGGGGGAGAAATCTACTCACAACATTATGTTAGTGGGGCTGAAGTAAAACGGTGTCGTGGTTGTGGGGGAGAAATCTACTCACAACAACATGTTAGTGGGGCTGAAGTAAACCGTGTTGTGGTTCTGGGGGAGAAATCTACTCACAACATTATGTTAGTGGGGCTGAAGTAAAACGTGTTGTGGTTCTGGGGGAGAAATCTACTCACAACATTATGTTAGTGGGGCTGAAGTAAAACGTGTTGTGGTTCTGGGGGAGAAATCTACTCACAACATCATGTTAGTGGGGCTGAAGTAAAACGTGTTGTGGTTCTGGGGGAGAAATCTACTCACAAGATTATGTTAGAGGGGCTGAAGTAAAACGTGTCGTGGTTGTGGGGGAGAAATCTACTAACAACATCATGTTAGAGGGGCTGAAGTAAAACCGTGTTGTGGTTCTGGGGGAGAAACCTACTCACAAGATTATGTTAGTGGGGCTGAAGTAAAACGTGTTTGGTTCTGGGGGAGAAATCTACTCACAAGATTATGTTAGTTAAAACGTGTTGGGTTCTGGGGGAGAAATCTACTCACAAGATTATGTTAGTGGGGCTGAAGTAAAACCGTGTTGTGGTTTTGGGGGAGAAATCTACTCACAAGATTATGTTAGTGGGGCTGAAGTAAAACGTGTTGTGGTTCTGGGGGAGAAATCTACTCACAAGATTATGTTAGAGGGGCTGAAGTAAAACGGTGTTGTGGTTCTGGGGGAGAAATCTACTCACAACATTATGTTAGTGGGGCTGAAGTAAAACGTGTTGGGTTCTGGGGGAGAAATCTACTCACAAGATTATGTTAGTGGGGCTGAAGTAAAACCGTGTTGTGGTTCTGGGGGAGAAATCTACTCACAAGATTATGTTAGTTGGGCTGAAGTAAAACGTGTTGTGGTTCTGGGGGAGAAATCTACTCACAAGATTATGTTAGTTGGGCTGAAGTAAAACGTGTTGTGGTTCTGGGGGAGAAATCTACTCACAAGATTATGTTAGTGGGGCTGAAGTAAAACGTGTTGGGTTCTGGGGGAGAAATCTACTCACAAGATTATGTTAGTTGGGCTGAAGTAAAACGTGTTGTGGTTCTGGGGGAGAAATCTACTCACAAGATTATGTTAGTGGGGCTGAAGTAAAACGTGTTGGGTTCTGGGGGAGAAATCTACTCACAAGATTATGTTAGTGGGGCTGAAGTAAAACGGTGTTGTGGTTCTGGGGGAGAAATCTACTCACAACATTATGTTAGTGGGGCTGAAGTACAACCATGTTGTGGTTCTGGGGGAGAAATCTACTCACAACATTATGTTAGTGGGGCTGAAGTAAAACGTGTTGGGTTCTGGGGGAGAAATCTACTCACAAGATTATGTTAGTGGGGCTGAAGTAAAACGGTGTTGTGGTTCTGGGGGAGAAATCTACTCACAACATTATGTTAGTGGGGCTGAAGTAAAACCATGTTGTGGTTCTGGGGGAGAAATCTACTCACAACATTATGTTAGTGGGGCTGAAGTAAAACGTGTTGGGTTCTGGGGGAGAAATCTACTCACAAGATTATGTTAGTTAAAACGTGTTGTGGTTCTGGGGGAGAAATCTACTCACAACATTATGTTAGTGGGGCTGAAGTAAAACGTGTTGTGGTTCTGGGGGAGAAATCTACTCACAAGATTATGTTAGTGGGGCTGAAGTAAAACGTGTTGTGGTTCTGGGGTAGAAATCTACTCACAACATTATGCTCATGGGGCTGAAGTAAAATGGTGTTGTGGTTCTGGGGGACAAAGTAGAACCTCCTGTCTGCAGGCTGGAACACCACCTGGGTCACCTCCATGTACTCGCTGAATGTACTGTGTATCTGTAGCACTTTGTAGGGAATTTTACCCTGAAACACACAGGCATTCACCTTTAGTTTGTTCGTCCACAATCAGCTATATTCTAACCGAATAGAGAGAGATCTTTAACTTATATACAATTATGTAATCAGCAAATGTTGACATATTTTCTACTCACAGGGTAAACCTTATCAAAAACAAATTTGTCTGGAATGGCATGAAGGCTCCCCTCAGCTGTCCGCAGAGTCACTGGTATAAAAATATCCTGAAAGAAACAGAAGTTGACCATGACCAGTGAGGGCAACACCATCTAAAACCAACATAGCATTCGCTTAAAGTATTAAATAGGCTTCATAGTCTGAAGCCACTATTCTACTTAGTGAGTGAGTGAGTGAGTTTTATGCTGCTTTTCGCAATATTCCAGATTACAATGTAGGAGACACCAGAAATGGACTTCAAGCATTGTACCCAAGTAGGGAATTGAACCCGCAAAGTCTTTAACCACTAAAATCATGAGAGATGGAGAATAGAATTCCCACATCGTAAGTGAAAGTTCTTATCAGCCTCAATGAGCAACAATGTTGTCCTATGACAGTATTGTGGAAATTTCCACGTGTGATGGAAGCCAGCAGTAGTTGATGACAACAGCCCCTGCCACACACTGTACCCCCTCAATCCACTGTACTGTCACCCCCCACCCAGTGAGATGACCTGAGAAATGCCAGTTCTGGAGCATGTTCCTACCTGGAACTGTGTGACTATCAACACCTCCGCTGCATACGCCCCCTCCTCGTTTGGCGCAACAACATTAACACTGAACACAGCAAAGTGGTAGGGCTTGATGACCAGCTGCAACAGACAAACATGGTTCAAGTCATGAGTGTGATAGCCCACCAAGATACCATCCCACTGTTTAACATGGCAGCCCACAGAGATACCATCCCACTGTTTAACATGGCAGCCCACAGAGATACCATCCCACTGTTTAACATAGCAGCCCACAGAGATACCAGCCCACTGTCTAACATGGCAGCCCACCGAGATACTATCCCACTGTTCAACATGGCAGCCCACAGAGATACCATCCCACTGTTTAACATGGCAGCCCACAGAGATACCATCCCACTGTTTAACATGGCAGCCCACAGAGATACCATCCAACTGTTTAACATGGCAGCCCACCGAGATACCATCCCACAGTTTAACATGGCAGCCCACCGAGATACCAGCCCACTGTTTAACATGGCAGCCCACTGAGATACCATCCCAATGTTTAACATGGCTACTCCAGAGAGACATCCTTGTTTTATCCGCTATCTGCCAAGCCCCAAGTACGATCTGTTCCACTTCCTGCTGCATCCAGCAATACAGGGACAAAACAAGAGATAAATCCATGACCGAGAGTATGCTTGATCATGCTGAATGTACTGTTGCTATTGTTATGTGGCAGCCTTAAATGTTTCAAAACACCTTATTGCATTATGTTCATTTTGAATAGTTTGATATGGAATAGAAATAGTGGAAATCTTGTTTGGTGATGTGACAGATTTCTGCAGTGACTTACCGGATCTGTGTCTATTTCCGACTTGTTGTGTACCCGGGTGAGCGTCGTCCCGTTCCCTCTCTCCATACCAAGGATCTCGACGGTGGTACGGTTCATGTTGGAACTAAACTCACCCACCACAACCTGCACACAAACACAAAGGGTGAGCAAACTACAAGATACACTCTCTATAACCAAACATTTCCTGACAGAGCAAACATTTACTATGTAGCATCATAAACTGCAGTACATGGTGAGGTGCAATTGGGTTTAACATCGTACTTGAGAATATTTCACTCATATGACAGCGTGAATGCATGTGTATGTGTATGTGCGGCTGCTTGTACCAACCCAGACTGAAGCTGGTTTTATAGTGCTAGCCCACTGAGATACCATGCCACAGTGAAGCATGAATACCCCCCTCAGACACATTATACTGCCTTTAAGCAGACCAGTCCTTGTTGTACCCATTAATGCTGAGCGTAAGGCAGGGACCAACAAGTACCATATTTTAACGTCTTTTGGAATGACGTGGTCGGGCTGCAGTACATGGATAACCCAGAGGATGCATTCAGCATCACAATCACATCATCATGCGCTTTATTGTGATTTAATTCCTAAATCATATTGGTGCTATACAACGTTTGTATATTATTTTTTGTATATTATTATCATAAACAGATGAAACATTTGTACTTCGACTCATGGGTATGTCACTGCCAATACTGATCTACAATCCATGACTTCTTCCAATGGTATCATATCCTCTACATTTCCTCATTAATCCCCTTTTTAATCCCCCTATACTCACATCCACAGGGTTGTCGTTGCGCACAGTAAATATCATACTCCGACTTTCGCCTACTCCCATAGTACCGAAATCAAGCTGCCCTTTGAACTTCTTTGGCCGATGATGTATAACCTGCATAGGATAGAACATGTACTTAACTTCCCATCCACAAGTATAAACATATGTATAAACATATCAACACATAAACAGCCAACAGTGATGTAGTGTAACTAGAGTAAACAACAAGAGTCATTTATCATGCTACCGTCATCAATAGTGATGTCATTCCTTCATACATCCTGGTATATCAATGTTATATCATACAGTGTATCCTGGTATCCACTGACGTCTTAAATGTAAAATCCTTGTATATAGTGATGTTACACTTTACATAACATATAGGTGTATATCCATGATACATCACATGTAACGTGCTGGTATATGAAGATGTAACACTACAAGTAACATTTTGCAACACATTGACACTGTATTTCATGCACGTATACCTGACTGTAGTGATTACACGTTAATCCCAGTATATACTGGTGTTATATCACATGTAATAATCAGTTGCAATATGCCACTACCTTGAACAGCCCATTATAGACGATGATAGGAATCTGGAAGGTGGATGCATTTGAATGTATGGTGAGTACAGTGTTGAAGTGAAGCTGTGTCTCGTTTGGATGGAACTTGACCAGGAAGGGTGTGGCCATCTGCTGAGGCTGCAGCAACACAGGCTGTGTAAAGTTGTAGATCTGAAACAAACACACATACAGTGTAGTCATGTAATGAAAATGTACTGATGTAAATGTGTATATTTCTTTACAGCTGCCGCAACATCAAATAATCAAGTGAATGATCAATGTCGAGGCACAAATATTTCAACTTCTCAATGATGCATTGTAACCACCCCACAGATGTTTGCAATGTATGATAGTCTGATCAAACACTACATCCAAACAGGATTGACCTGTGATGACATGCACAAACTTACAGAAAAGAACTGGGCTACGTCAGCCGGTAGTGTGACGTTGAAGATGACAATGGAGAAGTTGAAGGTGTTCGTGAACATCATCGGCCGTGTGACATTCTTCAGGGCTTTTGCACTAAAGTAGTATGTGGTGTTGACATTGTATACCAGTGACCTGAAACACAACCAGTCATATACGACTCGTACGTACAGCTCATGTAGAGAAGTTATGTAGACACCTGTTTGATGTATAGTGGATCAAACAGCTGTTGGATGTATAGTTGATAAAAACAAAACTGCTTGATGTATAGAGGATCAAACAGCTGTTTCATGTACAGAGGATCAAACACAACTGCTTGATGTACAGTGGATCAAACAGCTGTTTGATGCATAGTTGATCAAACACAGCTGTTTCATGTATAGAGGATCAAATACAGCTGTTTCATGTACAGAGGATCAAACAGCTGTTTCATGTATAGAGGATCAAATACAGCTGTTTCATGTACAGAGGATCAAACAACTGTTTCATGTACAGAGGATCAAATACAGCTGTTTCATGTACAGAGGATCAAACACAGCTGTTTCATGTACAGAGGATCAAACAGCTGTTTCATGTATAGTGGATCAAACAGCTGTTTGATGCATAGTTGATCAAACACAGCTGTTTCATGTATAGTGGATCAAACAGCTGTTTCATGTACAGCGGATCAAACAACTGTTTCATGTACAGAGGATCAAACACAGCTGTTTCATGTATAGAGGATCAAACAGCTGTTTCATGTACAGAGGATCACACAACTGTTTCATGTACAGAGGATCAAACACAGCTGTTTCATGTACAGAGGATCAAACAGCTGTTTCATGCATAGTGGATCAAACACATCTGTTTCAGTAAAGTGGATCTAACACAGTGTATAGTAGGAGAGAGGAAACATTCATACCCATGTAGGACATTCGCCCGGAAGGGGATTATCAGTTTGTGAAAATTGTTCTTTGTTCTGATGACAAGTTTTCCAGACCACTGCTTGGGATGAAACGCTTTGACAGCTGGAAAGAGAAATATTTCGTCATTCAATATACAGCAGCTCATAGCAAGCAAATAGCCAGACAAAATAGACATTGGGACCATATTTGTTTCCTGCATTGTGATGCTAGTCCATTGACAATGATCACTGCAACAGATTTACTGCTATATATACTGATACACCAATAACAGCATTGATATTGTCAAAACATTGACTTTTAACAAATGATAGAGATTACACATCGAACACATAGATTGTTGCATGTATGTTTGAATGATAGATTGTTGCATGTATGTTTGTATGATAGATTGTTGTATGTATGTTTGTATGATAGATTGTTGCATTTATGTTTGTATGATAGATTGTTGTATGTATGTTTGTATGATAGATTGTTGCATGTATGTTTGTATGATAGGTTGTATGTATGTTTGTATGATAGATTGTTGTATGTATGTTTGTATGATAGATTGTTGTATGTATGTTTGTATGATAGATTGTTGCATGTATGTTTGTATGATAGATTGTTGTATGTATGTTTGTATGATAGATTGTTGTATGTATGTTTGTATGATAGATTGTTGCATGTATGTTTGTATGATAGATTGTTGTATGTATGTTTGTATGATAGATTGTTGTATGTATGTTTGTATGATAGATTGTTGCATGTATGTTTGTATGATAGATTGTTGTATGTATGTTTGTATGATAGATTGTTGTATGTATGTTTGTATGATAGATTGTTGCATGTATGTTTGTATGATAGATTGTTGTATGTATGTTTGTATGATAGGTTGTTGCATGTATGTTTGTATGGGACCACACTGAAAACATTCCAAAATATTCTGAAAATGTATTCCATCAAACTGATTTCAGCTCTCAAATTTCAGTGACTGCAGGGACTATTGCCACTCTCAGGATGTTTCCAAACATGTAACCATGGCAACTCACTGTTGTGCGATATGTTCTAATGTGTGACAACTCACCATTGTATGTGGTGTGTGCTACTGTGTGACAAGTCATCATTGTATGTGATATGTGCTACTGTGTGACAACTCACCATTGTATGTGATATGTGCTACTCTGTGACAACTCACCATTGTATGTGATATGTGCTACTGTGTGACAACTCACCATTGTATGTGATATGTGCTACTGTGTGACAACTCACCATTGTATGTGATATGTGCTACTGTGTGACAACTCACCATTGTATGTGATATGTGCTACTGTGTGACAACTCACCATTGTATGTGATATGTGCTACTGTGTGACAACTCATCATGGTATGCAATATGTGCTACTGTGTGACAACTCACCATTGTATGTGATATGTGCTACTGTGACCTGCCTCCCTGGGTCTGGCTGCAACTTTATGGGTCGAAAGTCTATGCTCACAGCATCGTTGCTAGGCGACACATTCACACTCTGTGAGAGAGAATATTGAAAATTCAGGTGCAGGATGGTCACAGAAAGCCTTTAACTGAGTCAGAGAAGATTCATTTAACCTGTTATACCAACCATTCTTTGTTAATCTGTATTGATCTCAGGCTTACGTTCCTGGGTATAAAACATACACACCTTTCGTCCTGATTCAGTTAAGTGATACAAACAGTTCTGACTGATATCTTTCAGATGATGACAGTGAAGGTGATGACTCGTTTAGTTAACGGACTGGAACAATACAAGACTGTATCTAACCATGCTATACTGGACTACCTAGACTCAGCACATCTTCTACTACAGGTACTCACAGAGATATGTATCGGTTTTGCTCCTGTATTGATGAGGTTCAACTTCACAACTTTCGGTTTGTCAAGCGTCCTCAAAATACCAAAATCTATCATCTCTATCGGTGAGTATATCCCTGGCTCTGGAAAGACAAAAATAATATCATCACTCTCAAGATCTGATTCACTTGTGTTTCACATTTGACATGAAAAATGTTGTGAAGAAGTGAGAGGGAGTGAATGGGGATCCACATCACAGTCACATCCTGATGGCAACCAATCAACAACTGTGTGGACCAGGCAGTGTTGCGAAAATGTCTCACTACAATCATATTACATATGGGATGAACGTCGGGTAGACAAGACGTGTTTTTTTTTACTGCTCTGAAAATGGGTATCTCTTTAGCCCAATATCGGGCTAAAATTGGTACATTTATACAACCAAATGGTTCCAAACGAAGTTTCCACGGTCTCCAAGTCAATCAACGGTCAGTTTCTGTGTGTTTACGCCTCCTGCTCCTTCTCAGCACACTACTTGTGACGAGCGGGTCGGTGGAGATGAACCCCGGACCTCTCACCCGTCAGTCCACCCTACAGACTGGTATCGATGGATCGGTGCAAGTTGATCAAGGTTTGAATGATTCGAGCAGTGATGCAATGAAGAAAATGTTTAGTGAACTAAGATGTGCTATGGACAAGAATTTCGAATCGTTGCATTCGAAAGTTGACAACATGGCGTCGGACATGCACGAGCAACTCGCCCGACTTCAGACAGAGAATGTGGAGTTACACACCAAAGTTAAAGAACTTGAAGATAAACTAGAGGATCTTGAATCTAGAAGCCGACGTGATAATTTGTTATTTCATGGACTGCATGGCTCATCAGGAGAAACCTGGGATCAGTCGGAAGTAATTGTGCGATCTTTTCTAACTGACACACTGAAAATGGATGAAGAAACAGTGAGTAACATTATTATTGTGCGTGCTCATCGACTAAATCCACGTAATCCTCAATCTCCTGTGATTGCTAAGTTTATGAAGAGCAGTGATAAAAGCAAGGTGTTCATGCGTGCTCGTGAACAGTTAGGACGTGGTAGTAACCACCGTGTAACAGAGGACTTCACCCGGAGAGTGAGAGAGGACAGGCGTGCACTTTCTCCATGGTTTGTTGATGCTCGTAATGCTAACAAACGAGTAAAAATGCGACAGAACAAATTAATCATCGATGGACTTACATATGTATATGACCACGACAAGAAAGATATAGTTTGTGTCTCAAAAAGACAACCTACCCCAGCGGGATCGCAAGCACAACAACAAACAAGCTACAGTGCAGCAGTGACAGCCGAACCACGTGGGTCCTTGTTTACATCTAGTGAATCCGGAAGCAGCAGAACAAGGGAGGCCACTCCAAACTGCTGAAGTGAAGGCCGAGGCTCGTTTGTTTACAAACAAAGTGACGGAGTTGACATTCTTTCATGGAATATAGAGGGACTACGTAAACATGACCAATGTGGATCTCCTCTGAAGAACTACTGCAATAAGTTCGACGTAATCGGATTCTGTGAATCGCCTGATTTTTTGCCAGGCTATGGTGTTTTCAACAGTGTACGTCAGAAAGTCAGACGACTTGGCCGGTATAGCGGTGGTGTAACTGTCTTCATAAAGTCATGCTTAATTGTAGATGGATATTGTAAGCGTCTTTATGAACATTTTAAGGACTGTATAGTGATTCTACTACATACGTCACGGTTAGATTGGGATCGAGACACTATTTTAATTTTCAAGTATCACCAGAAAACTCTCCTATATATAATAATGATGATAAAGATGGTATATCTGTATTGGAAGACTACATATCAACTATACGATGCGATTATCCTGTAGACCATATACTTCTGTGTGGAGACTTCAATGCCAGGATGAAGGATTTTCTCGACTACATCCCTGATGACAATTTAGACTGTATTTATGATTCAGCAGACTATCCCAGTGATGACTTTGATACTCCCCGAACAAGCAAAGACTTTCATTTTCACAATAATTATGGCATTAAATTGTCTGAACTTTGTCGAACATTTGGAATCCATACCTTTAATGGCCGGCTCCATAATGATAAATCTGGTGAGTTTACTTGTATCACTCACAATGGCTCCAGTGTTGTGGACTATATGATTGGAAGCTCATCATTATTCCACAAGGTTAGAAATTTTGGGATAGGTACTCTGGACCTCTCCTGTCATTTTCCCCTCTACTGCACTCTTGATATTTCATGTGCTCTGTCTAACTCTGAATGTACCACAACTTCTAATACAGATGCTAGTCAGCAGGCCACTACTGAGGAGGATTCATGGGTTAGATATGTGTGGTCTAAGGACTGTAATAGTCAGTTTGCAACACAGTTTCACAACAAATTGTTAGATATGTCTGTTACACTAACTGACCTTGTGTATACCAATATTGATGAAGCAGTTAATCTCTTAGTTAGTGTGATACAACAAACTGCTTCCCATACTAGAAGTGTGTATCGTAGCTTTGATAAGCACAGGGACAGATCACAGCCCCCCTGGTGGGATGCAGAGCTGGAACAACTAAAACACGATAAATATTCTGCATTACGTGCACACAGAGACAATAATCAGGACTTGGATATATTTCGACAACTACAAAATTATTTAAAAGACATTCATATCCAAAAGGAGAATTATCAGTGTAAACAGAGACAGAAACTAGTGGATTCCAGCAGTGACTCAAGCCAATTTTGGAAATTATTGAAACAATATAGAATGTGCGACAGTCTTCCCTCATCTATCTCATGTAATCAGTGGTTTGATCACTTTCTATCATTACTTTGTGTTGACCAGCCTGATGTTTTACCTATTGTTTCACCACATGTTGTAAATACTACTGATGTGTCAACACTTAATGCTGCTATTACTGAGCAGGAAGTTTTGTTTCACATTTTACATTCTCCTAACAATAAGTCCCCTGGACCTGATGGTATATCAAATGAGTTTCTTAAAGCATCAAGTGCCTCCATTGTACCTTTTCTCACAGTACTGTTTAATCAGATATTTGATAGTGGTAATTTTCCATGTGGTTGGGGCAAGAGTATTATATGCCCTCTGTTCAAATCTGGCTGTAAAAGTAACCCAAATAATTATAGGGGTATATCTCTTATTGATTCTATTTGTAAAACATTTTCCTATATTTTGAATAAGCGTTTAAAATCATGGTGCGATGCACATGAAATTATTAATGAGTCCCAGGCAGGCTTCAGAGCAGGGTACTCCACAATTGATCATATTTTCTCTCTTCAGGCTTCTGGTAAAAGGAGAGGTAGATTTTATTGCCTTTTTATTGATTTCTCAAAGGCTTTTGACACAATAAGACATGATGTTCTCTTGCAATCTTTATCTGAAGTTGGTATTTCTGGTAAATTTTATAATATAATATCATCAATGTACAGCAGTTTATCTGCATGTGTTGGAACTTCAAAGGGTTTATCTAAGTGTTTTACATGTAATATTGGTACCAAACGTCAGGGTTATGTGTGTTAAGCCCACAGCTGTTTATCATATTTATTAATAAGTTGTTTTCCCTAATGGAACAGGAAGGTGGTATAGGTGTTAATGTTTCATCTGATTTTAACAATTTGTGTTCACTAATGTTTGCTGATGATGTTTCTGCACTATCTGATACTTGTAATCAGTTACAAAAGAAGATAAATGCACTTGAATGTTTTGTAAACAAACTGGAATGTCAATTAATTTTAGTAAAACAAAGTTCTTGTCTTTAGAAATGGTGGGCCATTACGGGAATATGAAAAGTGGTCCTATAATGGCAATCCTATTGAAACTGTATCCTTTTATAAATATCTAGGACTTGTATTTACACCAAAGCTGGGTATGGAGTAAAAGCAAAGCTGTTTGGTATCTCAAGCTAACAAAGGATATATTTTTCTGTAAATGGTTTTCAAAAAAGATGGGAAGAGTAAATTGTAAAGACTTGTTTAAGATTTTTGACTGCATGGTTTCACCCTATTTTGTGTTATGGGTCTGAGATTTGGGGTACTAACTATTGTAGCATCATTGAGTCTGTTCAGGTAAAATTTTGTAAATATTTCTTGAAAGTTGGTAAATCTACCTGTAATAACATGGCTCTTGGTGATTGTGGCAGACTTCCTCTACAAATTACTTATATGACTAAAGTAATTAAATACTGGTGTCACCTATTTGTATATGCCTTATGATAGACTGCCAAAACATTGTTATATTATGCTCAAGTCCTTAGATGATGTTGGCGCACTACTTGGGCAACTTGTGTCAAAAATATTTTATTTAAGTATGGTTTTGGCTATGCATGGATCAGTCAGGATGTTGGCAATGTTGATTATTTCATATCCTTGTTTAAGCAGAGACTTTCGGATAATCTTAAACAATGTTGGTCCACTTCAATTCAAAATTCAAATAAGTGTTTTATTACTCCCAATTTAAGACATTTTTAAATGTGGAAAGGTATTTAAATTCTGATATTCCTTTACATCTCAGATCTGCACTCTCTAAATTTAGATGTGGAAATTTTAATTTAGCTGTTGAAACTGGTAGATACAATAAAGTTAATTACAACGAGAGACTATGTCTATTTTGTAGAATTGGATGACAAAAATGTTATTGAAGATGAATTCCATGTACTCCTTAAGTGTGAACGTTTTTTCTGATTTAAGGTTAAGATATATTCAGAAATATTTGACTGATTTTGATCCAAATGCCAGTTTTATTAACATTATGAAAACACATAATGATTGTATCATAAGAGATGTCAGTATTTTCCTGTTTCATGTACTTCAGCGCATTAGAAATGTTCCTCTTACACAGCATGTGCACTAAACTATCTATATCATATGCGAATGACTGTATGATGGGCCTGTGGCCTTTTACTGAATAAACTTGTCTGTCTGTCTGTCTGTCTGAACTTTTCAAAATATTACCTTCTCACGCGCTTGCACACATGCACACACACCACTTGGATATAAGCAGGCATCACTTGATTAACTCCCCTGATATCAAGGGGTTATCTCCCTTTGACCTGTTTCACATTGGCTGTTTCTTAATTCATGGTTCATTGTGGCAAAAGTGCCTTAGTATAAATATTTGTTTTTGCTGTAATATACATAAAATTTAGAACTGATCTAATATGTGTGTGTGTGGGGGAAGAGTGAGAGTGAGAGTGAGGTGAGTGAGAGAGAGAGAGAGAGGGCACAGAGAGAGAGAGAGAGAGGGAGAGAGGGAGAGTATTCATTACATTTTCAATAGACAGAATTACAAATGGTAGTTAAGAAAACAGAATACAGGCTGACTGTGTGGAAAGTTAATCATCCAATGATCACACATCAACCAGGTTTATTGTATTTTTATGCTACAAAGTAAAATAATTCAATTTGTCTGTGACAGTTGAGACGTGTCTCAAGACAATGTCTTGTGAACCTTGCTTCAGACAAATATCCATAGTTTATAACACAGATATTACATCTACACAAAACCATGAAGGACAATTTTCTGGTAATGATAGTAAATAAGGACTTCAAAATGACACAAATATTTTCAAGTTGTCAAAATCCAACTGAATTTGGTATCTTAATTTTGTAAAGGAAACGTATTTTGTGTTGTTGGACATGATCAAGTCCTCAAAAACACATTTTCATTCTCTAATTCAGTCAACAAAAACTCTCACAAATACTCGACTGTACATGTGTCAGTATTCTAGTTTTTTCATCCATATAATTTTGAGGATATTGCTGTATGGGCACACATATTACTATTTTCACAGACTGCTGTGTGATCGTGGTGATGTACACAAGTTGACCTACCTGACGACACCTCCACCTCCACAGGCAGTATCAGCATCTCAGACTCACTCTCCTGGTTGGTTTTTATCCTGATGAATGCTGTGTGGTTGTTTTCTATTCGACCCACAAAGTTGGCCCGCATTACAGGCTTAGTCTCAAATGGTTGTAATTCCTGTCAAGGTAATCAAGGGAGAGAACTATTAAGGTCAAATGGCTGTAACTCCTGTCAAGGTAATCAAGGGAGGGTACTATCAAGGTCAAATGGCTGTAATCTCTGTCAAGGTAATCAAGGGAGGGTACTATCAAGGTCAAATGGTTGTAATTACTGTCAAGGTAATCAAGGGAGGGTACTATCAAGGTCAAATGGCTGTAATTCCTGTCAAGTTAATCAAGGGAGGGTACTATCAAGGTCAAATGGCTGTAATTCCTGTCAAGGTAATCAAGGGAGGGTACTATCAAGGTCAAATGGCTGTAATTCCTGTCAAGGTAATCAAGGGAGGGTACTATCAAGGTCAAATGGCTGTAATTCCTGTCAAGGTAATCAAGGGAGGGAACTATCAAGGTCAAATGGCTGTAATTCCTGTCAAGGTAATCAAGGGAGAGAACTATCAAGGTCAAATGGCTGTAATTCCTGTCAAGGTAATCAAGGGAGAGAACTATTAAGGTCAAATGGCTGTAATTCCTGTCAAGGTAATCAAGGGAGAAAACTATCAAGGTCAAATGGCTGTACTCCTGTCAAGGTAATCAAGGGAGGGTACTATCAAGGTCAAATGGCTGTAATTCCTGTCAAGGTAATCAAGGGAGGGTACTATCAAGGTCAAATGGCTGTAATTCCTGTCAAGGTAATCAAGGGAGGGTACTATCAAGGTCAAATAATTACAAACGACCCAAATCATTCTGCATTTGTTATGTCGTTAACTCTTTTCTCAAATCTCTCAAACATACTTGAAACATAACATGTATTTGAATACTTTACAAGCAACTTATTTCATCAGCACTAGTCTAAATATTTATTACATACATACAAAAATGCTCATGGAGAACTCATATTCCCAAGGCTGGCAACAAGAAAATCTATTTTCAGCAGAAACTTAAAATTGTGTCATCGAATGGGGGGTTCAGTGGGGTGATTGTGATATAAAATCGGCGGAAAAGTGCAATGCCTGTATTCCTTAAATGTAACAAGAAACATTTTTACCCATAATTCTTTTGATGCTTCTTTTGCTCCTGATGGGAGTTCTAGATGTAAATCTCCCTCACTAGAAAACATTTCCAGCACCTGGTGGAAGAGAGACAGACAGACAATGAACAGGTGCCCTGACTATCCACACTTGGTAAGTTGAGGTTGGTGTCGAAACTATCACTGACATCTATTGTCATGTCTAAA